TCTCCACAGAGCGCCCTAACTCACTTCTCGGCTCGTGTGGACGGACCAGACTGCCTCCCGGTCGGCCCGTCCTATAGAGTGACGACAGTCTCCCACACAGCACCAGTCTGGCACATTTTGTGCCGTCAGGGACGGAAGTTTTAACGACGTCACTGTCGCTTTTGAAGGAGCCGCAGTGCCAGACCCATCAGCGGCGGCCGGCCAGTATTTATTAGCCCGAGCCGCTGGTCCCGAGTCGCCAAGGCCAGCCGAATGCGACCGGCTGACGCGCCGAGGACCTCATCTCTACAGCCGTGTCCATTCTCTACCGTCCCACCGTCTCCAGAGCTCTATATTAATATACATCCAACCGTGTCCACTGTCCGGCCTTGTCCAGTCATCCCTTCAGCCGTATCCAGCTATCCAAGTAACGCTGCCGCTCGGTCATCCGGTCTTCCAGCCGCATCCAAACGCCCTACTGCTCTTACTGAACCATTCAGCCTTTTTCAGTCAACCTTTATCAACAGTCTAGCCGCCGTCCGTCTCTACAATCGTTCATTCAGGTTCACGTTTGTTCCTCCTTCAACGCAGCAACTGCTGTGTCGACGCATAAGTAAAAATTAAACGGAAAATAGAAAAGTGTTCTGCTGTATCGAAAAACAGCTTTGTTACTACTTTGAAGCTGTAAAAACATGTTTGTGCTTTATTGTCAAATTCTACTACTTTTGATAAAAAAGTCTTACATTCTTGCTAATGGTTCCTAGTGATTCCTTATTTTCTGACCTATGCTATGTCAGGGTCGCAGAAATGTGGGACGGTGCTCTGGCCTTAGGTAATGAGAAGAGTTGTTGTAACCACTATATTCCCGGTGTATGCAGTGGGTGACACGGCCCTGCTGTGCAGCAATCCCCCCCCCCCCCCTGCAGAGGTCAACTCTGTCACCGCCGGCTGCGCCCGACCCGTCAGCCCTTGTTCCGTTTACCAGCCGTGTGATGTCAGCGCTCGTTACGGCTGGTGTGGAGTCCCGTTTGGCACGGGGTGGCTCCGGGTGTATGGGGTCTCTGCCCGCACCTCAGCTGTTACCCGGTCGGGCACGTGGCCGTAGGGTCACGTCAGTCACCGGCACCCGGGCTGTCGGTCGGAGGTTTTTATTACCGGTACCGTTTGTTCAGGTGTTCAGAGCGCGGGTGGTAGCGGTCGGAGATGATAAAAACCCGACCCGCATGAACGGTAGGCTATCGGGACGGGTTAGTGTGTCTGTGGATGAATGAGGGCTGTCGGCTTCTCAGGGGACCTGCCCTGATGTGACGTGGTCCTAAATATCGCGGTTTTTGGGACGATGAACCTTAATCTGATGCATATACGGCCTCATTGCGTATGCGCGACCCGCGGCATTGCAACACAAATTTGGCGGCTGCGAATTTAGCACATTGTGTTGGCATATTGATGTGCTTTTCTACGCAGTATAACAGGAACGGGAGCACTGGCTGCTCTGGTATCGCCAGCAATCAATTTCGCTGACATTCAACAACGCTGATAAATTAAACAGTGCCCACTGTACTGTGCTGCGGCTCACGCTTAAAATACGCCAGCTCATACCAGGAAGTGGTGTAGAATTGTAACATTACACTGCTGGAAGGCATTGCAGAAACTACCGGTTCATATGAAAAGAGCGTGAAAAGGTCAAGTTGTCAGTTAACAACAGTATTAACCGAGCCTGTCGGAAAATACGACAGCTAACGTTTCCCTTACATTACACGACAGGCTATCAATGCAGGCGTTTCGGGGGGAGTGGGGGATTAAGTACAGGCGTGCTGTATGCTATACGGCGAGACGGACTGCATGGTGACGGCGGAGCACGGCTCTGATGAGTCGGAACAGTGACCGCGCTGTGCTGTCGTGCTCCGTCCTTCATCACTAGCCCGTGGCAAAGTGGTGCACGCCGCCACTAACTGGTGTGACAGAGTGGTGCACGCTGTCACTGCTGGTGCAGTGAGTGGTGCACGCTGTCACTGCGCGTGTGGCGCTGCATCGACCCTTCTCCTGACACTGGAAGAGAAGAGGATGAGGTTTACGGGCGCACCGAATGACCGATTGGTGACGGTCGCCACGACAGACCGGGCACGGTCAGCACGGCGGCGTGCTGTGATCGGAGCACAACTCGGCACAGTTTCATTTCTCAAAATACAGCACGGCGCCGTACTCTGTTCAGAGAGCACGGCTCGGCGCTCTTGCCATGGTCGGCGAGGTCGCTGACCCTGTCCCGTCTCGCCTGGGGGCGGGGCGGGCTGCAGCGTGCTGGGCAGGGAGATGAAGTGCTGTGGCTCCGCCGGCCGAGTCTGCACGTCTGTGCTGACCTTGGCTCGATGGTCGGGCGGACGACGGATGGGTGTTCCCTGACGAGGAGATATATCCCTCGCCGGCCGAGGGGGGGGCGGGTGCCGCCCCCCCCATAGGGTTTTTTCGCGATAGCTCCGAACACGCTGGCGATAGAGAGCTGAAACTTGGCATACCTGACCTTTGATCCAAGCCGCATCTTTTGACACCAACCGCATTTTTTGGTCAGGTCAGGTCACTGACCTATGACGTCATAAGTGAACCTCTGCACGGTCTTCAGATGTCGCAACTTCGCAACGCCCTCACTGCCAGAGGAGATGTCACAGGGAAATGAAACTTGCAGGATCTAGCATCCATTATGAGTCCCACAACTTGTATATCTCGGATTTTTCCTAAAGGTCATATGAGGTCAGGTCATTTTCGTGACCTCACCATTATAAGTCAATGGGGAAAAATGAAAACTGCTATTCTGGCGCCGGGAACGATCTCCAACTATCTCAAGCACACAGAATCGTGATTTTATGCACTCCTTGCAAGGTTAGATGCGTCACTTTTGCAATGTTGACCTTCCGTGACGTCATTTATGACGTCATCAAGGTCATATTAGTTTTTCGTCAATAACTCTTGATCAAATTGCGCTAGCGAGTCGGGAAAGCCACCAATGGACTCAGGAAGACCTGCCGAATCGAATGATATGCGACATGACCCCTTTCGACCAACTTCGTGACCTGGGGGTGCTGACCTGACCTTGACCTGAGGTCAACACCCCAAGTTGACCTGACCCGGACAAAAAGCATATCATTCGACGCGCCTGAGCGAGACGAACACGATGCTGCCAAAATCGGCGCTCTGCGGCCGTTTTTTGCGAAGTTATTCACCAAAAACTGAACCGTACCTTGGGGCACTTGACCTGACCTCAGAGGTCACCGGTTGACCTAGGGTCTTAAAATCGGGTACCAATCTCTGCGTCTCGTAACGGCGCACACGCTCGTTTTTTCCGCGACGCGCTAGCTCCACCAGGGGCGAAACGGCGAGGGGGGGGTCGTACCCGCCCCCCCCCTCGGCCGGCGCGTATGTAGAAAACCAATAGGTCCGGCGAGGGATATAAATACATACAGATGTAATAACTTTAAAGCAAGCGTATCTCTATGCATATAAAATCTCCATGCAGTGGGCTGTTGTCGATTGCAGAGGACGGCCTACTGTCGAGGCCGGGTCACCTACCGGTCAGCTGTTCCCTGCCTGCTCAGTCAGCTGCCGCTGCTGCTGCTGCTGAGCCGACATCATCGCTGTATATTTATGGATGCCTTGCCGCCGCTCTCCGGCCGTTCGGTGGCAAGTTTGCGGTACCGAGCGTAATTTCCGCGCTCTGTTGCATGCCCAATGCGCAACACCTGCATTATTTTGGTGTTCGCTGAACTCGATCTAGGTCGGCGATTCAGCGGTTTCTCGGTACGTAACGATCGGTTTGGGTTGTGTTGTGGCACGTAACGATCGGTTTGTGTTGTGTTACGTAGTTGATGTCAGGTTTCGTGACGTGTCAGAGGCTTATTGCAGAAAGTGACGTGTTACGCTCGCCATTGTATTGTGTCACGTGGGTGATTCATTTATTACGTCTACGACAACCCATGCTGACGCTACGGTGAGCTGTCCACGATGACGGATGTCTGCAGGTTTGTTTAGTGGTTGGCTGGGCTGACAAGCCAGTTTCTTATTTGGAGGTAATCTGATATTTTGTGGTCATTCTTCAATGGCTCGAACATGTTTGATGAATGGTGTTGGCTTTTGGACTGACTACGTCGTATATTGCGGTGAATCATTTTCATTCTTCACTGGCGGTTGTAAGAACGGAAATGAAATCCATCAATGCCGATTCTGAGCCGTCTCTCATCAGCTCACACGAAACTTCGCTCCATGACTTTAATGCATTTTGAGTACTTGATTTCAAATCTTTGTTTGACTGACCGTCCAGTTTTCTTCGCCGCCTCTGCCCACCCTTCCACCAAATCTGTGCTACTTCTGCTTCCATTCATCCGTCCTCTGTAAGGAATATCTGAGATGATATCAAGGGGACCGCCCTCCCCGGCGCTCTTGTAAGAACTGATGTGCTCTGTTGAGCCTGACGCGCGCCATTAGTTCGGGTCGGCCGAGGGTTTCCTTCTCTGCCGGCCGCGCCTCCGATCACTTCTGCGCTGTAGTGTGTCCGAAATTCAGTGATACCGGTCCAAAGCTCAACGGACTTTTTTGAAGGATTTGAAACAATTCCTTGTCCACGTGCAGTTTCATCAGGTTTTCCTGTGCGTGTTTTAGCGACTGAAAATATCACAAATGGCTGGCCAGGGCAGGCAAACAAGTTACAACCTATACCTCTTGGCGACTTGCGAAGTGCACAAACCTTCCTGAGCTGGTCATGTTGCTGTTTCACTCATGCCAGTTGATTTCATGTCACAATTTCCCTATGTGTCCCAAGCAAACTGTTCGCGTGCCGACACCCAGTAATTTCACTTAGATATCTATCACGAATGATGGCGGTGACCCATGCCTTCCTGGCATCCAAAGCTGAATCATTACCATCGTGACTCTTTAACCGTCTGACTTCGTTCTATCCGTCTGTCTGACGCCCATCAGATCTGTCTGCATTGTGACGCCTTTCTGACCGTCTGCGCGCTCTTCTCCGCCCCCAGCTGCCGACGGTGCGTGCGCTGATCCTGGATGAGGCGCTCTGTCAGCTGGCCAAGCCGGCCGAGAAGCTGAAGAGGCTGCCGGTGCGGGAGATCCTGGACCACGTGGCGCCCGAGCTGCAGGCCAGCTGGTGAGTACACGATGGAGGTGGAGAGGCAGCTGCCCTGTTCGGGGGCTAGTAAGGTGGTGGAGGGGTAGCTGATTTTGCTCATGGTTAGTTAGGAGGTGGAGAGGTGCTTCTAAGTGAGAAGATACGGGAACGCTGAGAGAATGGCCGGGTGAGAGAGCACAGTGCGAGTTGAGGAGTCGCGGAACGCTACTGGCTTATCATCGGTACAGACCGCGGAAGTGCATCACGCTCTCACGATTGAAACTGGTCCGTTAGAACTTAGAACACATGGAGTGCACGGTTATATAAGAAATCGCTTGCATTGATCACAAGCATTTCCTAGAAAGTGTCGTGCTGCTTGACACGCAGTTACACTGATCATGGCAAGATGTGTCGACTGCGTTCTTATCTCTCGTAAATTCCTGAAACAATGGACATGCTGCTGAGCAGGTGGCACAGATCCAGGAAGTCGTTACGCTCACTGCAAACTGTGGTGGACAGTGGACACAACAGGCGCCACTTTCCAGCCCCGTGACACTGCGCTCTGACCGACAGTGGCTTGTCGGCTCCGTGACAGCCCCTGTGACAGCTCCGCGACAGCTGCGTGCCGGCCGATACCGGAAGCCGGGTCTCCGGCAGACAGACGGGTCATTACGCGGGGAGTCTCTCCGTCAGCCAATCGGCGCCACCCGGTACTCCTCTGGGCTCATTATTGGTATTGGTCTAGGACAGACGGCAATACCCGGCTCCCGTAGCTATTTACCATTGCTCGTTACCTGATGTGATTTCCACTGCAGCTTTGTTGCGTTACGCAGCCCTTGCCGCCCACCGCGTGGCGTTACGGGTGATGTAGGGGTGGGTGGTGCTGCCCGGGGCAGTCTTGGCTCACAGGTCGTTAGGGCCCGCCGTGCTGGGCGGTATAGCTCGGACCGACCACGCCGTGGGGTGCAGCGGAGCGTTCGCTGCTCATGACTGGCCGGCCCCTGCGGGACGCACGCCGGCGAGTGCGTGTTCCGCCGTCATTGTTTACCAGCGGCGTGCTCGGACATTCATTAGCTGGTCTCTTTGTTTGGTGATTACGTCTACGGCGCACCGTCACGAGTGGTGCTGGTGACGGCGGTGGTGACTGTGGCGGCGCCCGGTCCCAGGGGTGGTGATGGATGCTCAGCGGTCGGCCCTGCAGTCTCTCATCTGCACGTGCTGGACAGTGGCGGCGGCGACTGTGTTGATGGATCGCTGCGGTGGAGAACGGTGACAGCGCTGGAACACCTGACAGTGGCAGTGACGGCGATGGTGGCGGTGGAGACAGCGCTCGAGGGTCTGACAGTTGCGGTGGCGGCGTTGTTGCCAGCGGTGGGGTGTCGTGGCAGTGGCAGCGGTGGCGATGGTGGCGGTGGCAGCGCTGGAGGTCTGTCAGTGGCGGCTGGATGTGAAAGCGATATCAGCAGTGGCAGTGGCGGTATATGACAGGGTATAAGCCAGGATTGTCTCGCTAATGTGGAATGAAAATAAGGTTGACTTTGCCGTAATATCGTCTGCAACAGTCTGATGTCAGACGTTGACTAGCATGTTTGAAACCTGTCCGTGCAGTATCACGACTGTTTCGGCGTGACGGGAACGTTGCGCCATGTTCGAGCGCGATGTTATTAGGTCTGTTTGTTCCGGACTATCGCTGATTAGCACTCCATTCTCATCGGGAAAAGGAAGATGAATGTGTGCGCGGGTCCCGTGACGTCCATAAATCCTGAGCTGTGATTGGCTGAGCGGGCGGGGAAAGAGAGCGTCATCAGCGCCATCAGACAGATATGGAGGCGTCAGGGCCCCGAAATTGTTCCCCGGACATTGGTTACAGCAAACCATAATTTATTTACGGCGCTTGTTAGTGAGAGTAGCACCTACAGTTTCTCCTGTCATTTCCAGAGCGACCTGGTTTCATCAGCTCCCAACTTGCAAGGTCGCTGTTGCCTGTTCGTTTATAACTGGTGATCTGTTTATGAGGTGCTATGTCTGGTATTTGTGTTGGCAGCTGCTGAGTGTTGTTCCTATGTGTGTGGAGTGTGGACGTGCCGTTGATGGTATGGCGACTGATAGCCCACAGTCGAATCATGTTTGCGGCGCTTTATTCCGCCTCCTTGTCTGCGATCCATTGGTGTGTGAAAACAAGGAGTGACGAGGAATTCCCAGAGACAGAGGACGTCCCACAGCCCAAACACGAAGACCTTGTTGACAGGTGTGGCACCGTCCCGTTTAGGGCGCGTACGAGAGGGGCGTGACGGCCTGTGAGACGGACCCACCTGCCAAAACAAACACCGCTGCCGGGGTCGGGGCGTGAGCAACCGAGCTGACCCCTGACCCTGACCGGGGCGGGCCGGGCGGTCATGGGCGGGCTCCTACCCCGCGGCCGGCCGCCGGCGACCACCCGCCGCACCGCGGCGAGGAGCGGCGCGCCGGCGGCGGTGGTGGCGCGGCGACGGCGAGGAGTGACGCAGAGGTCGTGACGGCTCCCCCGGTCCGTTGCCATTGAACTCTGCCACGGTGACATGGGATGCCGGGTCCAACTGTCGTCGCTATCAGACTCTCCGACACGATGGGACAAATCATCCCGCCGTCCGAAGGTCGGATGTGACAAATCGAACGCTGGCTCGAAGGTCGGACGGTAAAAATGGACGGTGGACAGCGGGACATATCGGGATGTGAGCCGAAATAACGGGAGGGCAGGCACGATCGCCGGAAATGGTCGTGTTCGCGGAGGCGTTTCGTGAGGGTTGGATGTAAAAACTTCAGATGATTGACTGGAACACGATGAGTCATTCAGTTCACGGATTCGATGTTGCTTCATGCCCGACTACTCTTTGTATTGATAATTTTTATTTCGCCTTTTTGAGTCACAAATTAGTATGTGCTGGATCTCGGCGGCTTCCACGAAGTGGCACTTTGCTTGACAGATGACAATGTATTGGAACACTACATGCTGCAGACCAAGTTTCTGACAAGGATGTTCGGCTCGGCTCAAGTTTGACTCAACAGCGACCTAATGAATTTTGAGCCAATGCGATCCACCTGCGCGTCCCTTCACTATCACGAATCGCGTTAGACTGATTACACACCCGGCCCATATTACCCCCACCCCTCCGTCCCCCTGGAATGCAGACCGGTCCTGGGAAGGGAGGGGTACCAGGAGGGGCCTCCCCGGGACAGCTGCGCGGGTGGTCCACCGCCCAGGTCGGGCGCGGGCGGGGGCGGCCGGACCGCGCCGGACCAGCCCTAATGGGCAGGTATGGTCCGCGCCGGGCGGGCAATGAGCAGGCCCTGTGGTAAAGACGTTAAGCGGTGATGATTGAGACAACTAGGGAGGGTGCGGTGCGAACTGGTGGGTGAGAATCCGGACGCCGCTGCCTTCAGCTCAGCGGCGTCCGGATCTGATAATTTTGCCCATAGATGGCGCCAGTGGTAAACGCCCGAAGGGTATGCTGCACCGCATTACAAACTATCTGAAACAACAACAGCAACGGCTGGCCATTTGTGTGGTGAACAAACTGTGAGGGGATGGTGATGACGACCAAGCCCTTCTTTGATCTTTACCTACCATCCATGAGATCATTACCTGCCCTCCCGTCTCCCTCTTTTGTCATGGTGGGCACTGATGACCACCGCAGTCCCGGCGCCCTAGACCCCCAAATTATCATCATCATCCTGTCCTCCCGCCTAACCCCCTGGTCCCCACTCTGCCGACCTCCTCCCGCCCAGTCTCGACTCGCGCGGGGTCACCTGTGACGACTCCATCTCGGCCCGCCCCAGCGGCAGCGGCGGCGGCACCGGCCGCTGGAATCCATCCGCTGTCCCCGGCGGCGGCCTCCCGGATTCCATTGACCGGCAACTACTCGATGAATGGCCGCAGCCGCCGCCGGCGCCGGCGCCGCCCGGCGTCACCCGATAATCGGGACGCCAGCGTACGGCGGACTCGATAATCGGACACCCGGTCTGCCTCGCCTCGCCCCGGTGCCGGGCGCGGCGCGACGGCTCCGACGCAGCGGCCGACGGGTCGTCGGTGGCGACGTTTCGACACAGAGGCTGAGAAATTGACCGTCGCCGTGACGGCGGCGTGGTGACGGTGAATGATGTCTCTGACGGTTGGCCGAGTGAGTCAGACTGGGGTCGATGACGGCGCCGGTTGTCCTGTGATGACTGATGTTGCCGACAGTAGCCGGCGGCGGCTCGGGCGTCACTCGCGCTGCCGCTCCAGCTGGCGGCAGCCTCACACAATGACGCCCCCAGCTGGCCCGGCGGCGGCCGCCAGAGAGGCGCCACAGATTGGTGGACCTCCCTCTGTTCGGACTGAGAGCAGCGCGCCCCAGGGCAGGGAGAGAGGGGAGGGACCATGAAGCGCCGCCCCGGGGTCCAGTGGCCTTTTGTGACCGAGTTCGATGCCGCAAAATCGATCGAGTGGTGAGAAACTCGAGTGTGATCAAATGCGCACGTGCTTTGTATGGCGTGCGCCAATCAGGGTGTGTTTAGAAAGGAGGACGGAGAAATGAAAGAAGAGACGCGTCGGTTTGTGACAGCTCGGATCCTTTCCACGCGGAGCGCTGTTCCCAGGCTTTCCCTGAGCCCATTTAGTCGCTCTGTGTTATCATTGTCACACACGCCGGGTCCTTTGTGCGCTGAAGTGACCGAGTTGACACGGACGGTGAACACTGAACAGGGGGGCCAGCAGAGCCGGGGTCGCCACTCCCGCCGCACGCACTGTGCGGAACGGTCACCCCGCGGCGACCCGTCTATTGTGATATGTCACACAGCGTGACGACACGGACGCTGTCCCCTGACGGGTGGTCATGTGTCGCTGGGTGATTGTGGGCCACGTTACGCACACGTCCCCAAGCTGGGTGTTTGCCTCCCGCGAACGTCCCTATACGGGTGCAGCCACAGTCCACACACATTTCGCGAGCAGAGGATATCCGGAAGCCGAGCAGGCACGCAGGCATCCTGTCCTGTCCCGGTTTATAGTATACGAGTAATTAAAACTGTTCATCTGTCTTGTCCACAAGCTACTCTGGACCGGTCCCTCTGACTGGATGCCTGGATACTGGAAAGGCATTTGGCTAATAGTTTGTTGGACCGAGGTCTGCCGTTGTCTGTGCTCACTCGCTCGCTCAAGTGTCATTTCGCATCATTCCGTGTAGCCCGGGCCGCGGCGGCTCAGGAGCCGCGCTGTCACTCGCCCGGTGGCGATGTCATCCGTCGTACTGGTGCCGTTAGGGACGTCGGTCGACCTCGCACCTCTGACCCCGTGACCCGCCGCCGCCGCCGCTGCCCGGGAGGTTTGATCTAGCCGTGTCGTGTCCGTGTCAGTGGAAGGTATTAGCCGCAGGGGACGGGCTGCGGCCGCCCGGCGTGGCGGGAGAGTGACCCTGGATCGGCAGGGGAGTGATGTTGTGCTGTGATGTGATACTGACCGTGATGGTACGTCACGGTGATGTCACGGTACTAACGTCAGTGACGCGAGTTGTGACTGAGCGAGGCTGTCGCTATAACCTCTGTCTGTAAGAGACGCATATCATTATACAGAGGAGGGAGGGAGGGAGGGTCACGTTCCAAAGGTCACGACAGACTGCGAGGGGGCGGGGCGGGCGCGGCGAGCAGGATGTTTGTTATGGCAGCGTCGGGCCGTCGCAGATCCCACACACACACACATCGTCCTCCTCTCCTCTCCCTCCTCCCGTCCTCTTCCTCTCCTCTCATCCTCTGTCCCTCCTCCAGTCCTCTGCCACCGCTCTGTGGTCGGCGCCCCTACTCTGGTGGCCCTCCCACCGCCCTGCGGCTTAGCTTTGTGTAATGTGTTCCATCATACGATGCCCTCTGGGTGATGTGAATTTCGGCACTGTTTGTGCCAACCAAAGCACAGACGATCCGCATGTGTCTATGCATCGTTTGTCATAGTTGTGGCTATGATTCCGTGTGAGAATGTTATGGCTCGTATCATATGTCTCAAATGATTGATGCACTGATTCGTATAATGCGAAAAGAATCGCTATTTAGCATGTTGGCGTGACAGTGATTGCGGATTAGGGCGTAATGTGCTGGGATCTTTTTCTGGAAGGACGCCCCTGACAAATCGCTTCTGTTGGCTTCTGGGCGTTGGGCGCCTCGTTAGATAAAGCACGCTTACGTGTTCATTATTCAGCTGTTACGTCATGGTCAGCGGTCCCCGATCAGCGTTGCTCCACTGATCAACGAACTTGTTCGTTGTGGGACACTCGGAGAGCCTCTCGGCATTCCAACTCATGCAATGGGTGTAAGAGCTATCAGCAGATTTCTCGGCAGGTTCCTCGGTTTCTTCTGCCGGCTCGGCTGGTTCCTGGCCGTTCCCCGGCGGTTCCCCGGTTCCCCTGTAGAGTGTTCCCGGCGGTTCCCGGTTCCCGGTTCCCCTCTAGGTCCGTCCGCCCCTCCCGGGCCCTTCCCACGCAGCCGGTCACGCAGCCGCCAGCGGCGCGGGAACAGGAAGAAGTTAATCGCGCCGCGCCGGAGTGGAGCCGCCCGGGCGCGACACCGCCCTGCGCGGCCTGCTTTGTGCTCTTTGTACCTCACCAGCCGCCCGCCCGCGACGGATTACGCTCACGGCTCGACCACAATGGCACATGCATTAAGATAATTGTCGTAGGTAGGGAGGAAATGTGGCCGTGACACGACACGCGGCAGCCGCGGGTGGTATGTCCTGTGTAGTGTGTAGTGTACTTGACCTGCGCCCTGTCAAACTGACGGTCCTGGTGGTCTGTGGACTGCAGGAATCGGTGACCGATGAATGACCGTCACGACAGCTTACCGTCACGACAGCTTCACGTGACCTGTGTGACTCGTACCGATCCGTACGGGACGAATGACCGTCACGGCAAAGTCACGTGACCTCTGTGACCCGTGTTGACCCCGTGACCCCGCTCTCTGTTGCAGTTTGCGGCTGGCGATTCCCGAGCAGCGTACGGAAGATTACCTGATGAAGCTCGATGAGCAGAATATCTTCACCCGGTATAAGGTAGGTGTTGCTACCGAGCTGGACAGCTGCGATGTCCTCTTTTAGAAACCTAGAACTTCTTCCTGAATATTTCAGCCGAAAATTAATCATGTAGATTGTAGTCCGCGAATCTCATCCAAATTCCATAATATACTCACGTGCATCTGTCACGTTCCATAGCACGTGGATCTCGTGCCACTGTTGCTATCCTCAAACATACCATCGATCCACGCCCATCCCTCCCGGGCCCGTCGCCTCGCCCCTCCCCGCCGCGCCCCATACCGCACCCTGTTGCCCCAGGCTGTGGTGAACTATGTCGGAGCCGCGTGTTCCGCCCACATTACCAACTTTAGAACGCCTGGAACCCCGTGGAGCGGTGAATCGCTGAACTGGTGCCGCAGAAAGCTGTCGGCGCCGACGATAGACGACGGCCGACGGCGCCGGTCGACGGGCTTTGTCCGACGGCGCCCGGCGCGGCGGGCTCGACGGTGGAGCGTGACGCCGCCCCCGTCGTTATACCCCTCACCCCGCCCCGCGTCTGGCCCTGTGTACCGACGGGGTGCGGGGACCGGACTGAGGCCAACAGAGGTTCCATTCAGACCAGCCCGCCGTGCGCCGCGCCGTGTGGCGTGAGGCGTTCTGTGGGTGCGCACGGCCGTGCACCGTATGGGCGTGGAACGCGCTGAGTACGGCCGGCCGTACGCCGTAGGGCGTGCTGTTAGTACGGCCGGCCGTGCAGCGTGTGTGGTGCGAGCACGACCGCCCCCGGCGGGGTATTTCGGGAACAGGCCGCCCCACGCCGACAGCTCTTGTAAATGGCTGGTGTCGGGAGAGCTGAGGCTGGCGGCTGCCAGGGGCGGACAGGTGCGGTCGACTCGGCCCTGTCTGCTGTCTGTCTGTCAGCTCCAAACTCAACTGGACTTCTTGGACCTAATGAGGTGCATTTCATTCCAAGAAGCGTTTATTTTCGGCCATTTCAACTGCCACGGGAATGTTGCATGGTATGTTGGCACGAAAACTGAAGTTGTGTGAGCGATTGTCTACCCCCCCCCCCCCTCCGCTCTCTTCCCCTGGCATCATGCACGTTGTCAGTGGTGGCGCGCCGTCTCACGTCCGTCCTCCCACGTGACCGGAGAAATGGTGTGCGTTCGGCGTTGCAGGAATGTGAGTGCGTTCGTGTCGTGCCTGCGGCATCGTTGTGTCACGTTCGCTCTGTCACCGGCAGACGTTGGTTGAAGGACGCACGTTGGTCGATGTAGGCTAGTCAACAGTGGAAAATGCGAGATGGGGTGTAAACCGCTAGTTGTGTGCAGTTCTTACAAAATGTAGTTTTGTATGCATCTGTATAGGGTAGCCAATGGGGAGATTCATTCAATGATATAACCTGTACCGTTTTTCCTCCTTTTTGTTGTTGCCTCCTTTGCACCGAATTTGCCGCTCTTAGGTAACTGTGGGGAAAACGCACCCCTGGGTTAAACGCCTCCCCTAAAAAAAAATCGTATTTCTTATCGACGGATAGGTGTTTCATCCTGTCTTTCAGAACAGTCAGCTGCTTGTTTACCGTATAGGTCTCTATTTCCGGTTCTGCGCCTTGAGGAGCAGCGTGGATAGGTGCTGATGTTGGTTTGGGGTGTTGTTTTTGTTGTTTTTACAGAAGATTCCTAATATTTTGATGCCCTCTTTATATCACAGAACTTGCTATTGTGCATATCACTAAAAACTGCGTTTTATTGTCATTCTGTTGGATTTATTATGCTGCGGCGTTAGTGGCGCGTTTTTTGTCAATATTTTGTTGACCGGAAATGGAGCGGATGGGGAAAGACGCCTACTCGATGCATGGGGCAAGACGCCCCCAGTTTTCTAAAAGGGGGGCGTTTTGCACGGTGGTGAGAGTGCAGGGTAGCGCCTTGTAGGTGGGTGCCGAAAAGGCCTCTCCCTGTCCTTTTTTGCTGATATATCCTAAACGACTGCAGATATCGTCACCAAACTTTCAGGACTCCTCCGGGCATCCATTTTACACATTGCAACAAAATTTTATTCCAAAGGCTATGATAGGTTGACCACAAATGACGTCAGAATGACGTCAAGTTCGGCCATGTTCATCATGTTCTGTTGCTGGATGGGGTGGGGGCGTTTTGCACATGGGTGTGGGCGTATTACCCAGGGTGTGGGGCAAAACGCCCTTTTGTAAGGGTATGCGAAAAGCTTTTTGAGGGGTTAAATACCACACGCAGGTGTCTTTTCTTGGTCTCAAAGCGTAGTAAAAAGAATGAGCTACATGATGGTGCCCAAAGGTTTGAGTAATCTGTGTTGGGTTGAGTGTCAGAAGGTTTCGCGCTTAATGGGGGCGTTTTTTGACCTATTCACCCTATTCATTTGTGACCCGTGACGCCCCCTCCCTTACTCAGTCCCCCTGCGCCCATCCACCCCCTTCAGGATCGCCCGCTGACCTGAATCCTCAGAGCAGCTGTCATGAGCCGTGTTATCCCTCCGAGGCCTCTGCTCGTCTCCGATCATGACACGCCATATCGGACGATGTCGTTATGAAGTAACGGACCGTGAGTTAGACGGTGCTGCGCCAAAGAACGGCCTTGTCGAGTCATGAGATGACCGAAGTTTTAACTGACCCTGAGAGCAGGGATGTGACAGCGTGTGGAGGACTTTGTATGTGTTGTGATGCTCAAAGAATGTCCCTGGTGTTTGAGAAATGACCAAACGAAGTGTGAAAATGGCGAGAGCATGTTCGAAATTCGTGTGCGTCGTCACCCTCGTTTGACAGTGTCATCCATCTATTGGCAATTTTTCACTCCTTGAATGTATGGGCGCTCTGCTGTGACCCAGTCAGATATTCCTCTCGAAGAGAGTGATATCGTCATAGCATCCTAGTCACACGACTGACATGACCTAGACCTAGTCTAAGTATCATCGTGTATTCATACCGTTGTAGTCCTAGGCATAGCTTCGTCCCAGAGCGCGCCGTCATCCAATCACAGGGCATGCCTCGACCCACTCGTTTTCACACGCCTTCTTCTCTTCTGACACTGCTACCCCGTGCCGCAGGTGGGCATCATGTACTGCCGAGCTGGCCAGAGCACCGAGGAAGAGATGTACAACAACGAACAGGCCGGACCGGCGTTCGACGAGTTCCTAGACATGCTCGGTCAGCGAGTCCGACTCAAGGGCTTCGACAAGTACAAGGCGGGCCTGGACAACAAGAGTGAGTTCTGGGAACAGTTAGGGTGGCTGAAAATGCTCTGCTAGCTTCAACACAGGTGTAAGCTGGAGGGTTTGGTTGCTTGATGTGTTTGTTGAGTGGTATTGTTTGTTGACGATGAATCACTGAAGGTTTATCAGCATGGGCGTAGGAACGGCTGGAACATTGTGGGTGCATGGGTGCAGAAATCCAGCCATGGCCGGTGAAGCGGGGGGGGGGGGGGCGACACCCGAGCGAAGGCTCGTTACGAACTTTGAGGGTGTACCATGTCGAAAAGGTACCAACCGATAAGTGCATTTGGAAGCATTGACCCTCGCATGTGTACAGTGTAGGGGGGTCGGATGAACCCCCCTCCCCCATGGTTGTTCGCAAATAACTCGCGCAAAAAGCGGCCGATCGCGACGAAACTTTTAGTACCCTCGAGTTGATCAGTTTTACACCTACTCTAAAAATTTCATGACCCTGACCCAAAAGACCTTTGACCTGATTCTCGAGACCATGTTCGGCCGGAATCGCGATTTGGCGTATGTCAGCTCACATTATCCGCGCGTTTCCAGTCTTTTTGTGATACTCGTAGACGTCCAAACATGTGAAATGATGTTCTTCCCATGCATCACGGTGGGTGTGAAGATAACCTGAAGGTCAGGTCAGGTCATTGACCTTTGATGATCTCGGTTCACTTTTTCGAGTTTTACATGTTTCTAGGGTAGTTTATAGGGCTGATTTCGAATTTAGCATCCATTTGAACGTTTACGAAGTAGTTTTAGTGCTTTCGTGACATGCTACGACGCCGTCAGTGGTAGTTGACACCTAGGTACTATGGATAGCCGGTAGGACGCCTAATGGTTGACCTGACCTGACCTGACCCGATCTGGCCTAAATGCATGAAGAAATCATCTGTGATCAAAACTAACAACAGATATTTGTGATCAGCATCCCGAAAAACCCGATAACAGCTTCACTTTACGCAGTTCTAGCAGGTCCCGATTTTCCCGACTTTTGGAATATTGACCTGACCTGGAAGGTCAACCAATGAAGTAGGACCTTAAAATTGGGTATCATCGGCTTCCTCTCGTCACGGGCAACACCTTCGTTTTTTCCGCGAAGCTCTAGCTCGATCAAGGGCCGAACGGCAAGGGGGGTCCAACCGACCCCCCTCCCCCTCCCCCTACACATTAGAAGCTGGAAAACGCTGCACACATTCGAGGGCTAATATTGTCAATATTGACTACCGCAAAAAGTAAAAGCGGCCAACTTAGCCATTTTCGAAGATATCGGGCTAAAAGTTTTGACAGTGGGTCATCGGTTCGGTATGTGCTCAATCACATGCTCCATTTCCCTTTTTTTCAGCACAAAAGTAAGTTTTGAAGACCATCACCGATCACAGTAGCAAATGCTTCGAAAGATGGATAGTAGGCAACATATCCTGAATTTGCCGTGCTGCATGGGAAGTAGTGTTGGTGAAAAAGGGGTTTTTGGTTCAGATTATTGTGGGTGCAGAATACATTGTCTGCACCCACTGGATAAATATTGTGGGTGCAGCTGCACCCTTGCACCCATGGTTCCTACGCTTATGTTTATCAGTAAAACTGTTGACTGGTTTGTTTGCTGGTTATAAATGACGGGTATTACGGCGCTCAATCTCTGTCTCAATTTAAGCCGCTCAGCCGCTGCGTTCCTGTTTCTTCACAAACAAACAAACTTGCCAAGCTCATCTAACGGTAATCCTCCTAATGATTGCATCATTGATCTCTCGACCGTAGTTATTTAAAGTTTTGTCATTCACACTCCGCGGATCGCAAATATTCGCATGCCTCAAGATTCGCTAAAAAAAAGTCACTACCGAGGGCTGCCAAACTAGAAACTATGTATCTACAATCTACATGTGTATGTGATGTGTGTGCTGTGTAAATTGTGTTTGTGTATGTGATGCGACCTTGCTGACCGTCTAACTCTTCCCTCTCTTCTCCAGCTGACTCCACGGGTCAGTACTCTGTGTACGCCCAGTACCGGGAGAACGAGATAATGTTCCACGTCTCCACCATGCTGCAGTTCTCACCCAACAATCGACAACAGGTGAGAACCGGGGGTATATTGGTGAGAACAGTGAGAGCGGCTGACAGTGCTACCAAATCACTGGGAGGAGGGGCTGTGCACTATAGAGGCGTGTGATGTGTTAGACATTACTCTCAGCTCTTCATGGCTGATACGTGAAACAAAAGAAAGGAATGGTAAAAGAACATTTTCACGCAACCGATTTTGGCGTAACGCCTCAATGGAGCGACCACTTGTATCTTATTCCTAAAAATATGCCTTCCGCGATTCGTGACGCTTGGATGCATGTAGCATGCATAAGCGGAGCGAATTTGTTATGGAAAGTTGGCAGGATATCTCTGCCAAGAGTGATATAAAAGCCGCATATTTTCCGTATCACTAGAATTCTATTTTTGGAACCCACACGACCTTCCGTGAACCTTCTCTTCATGAATGTGTCGTGCAAAATTGAATACCGCAATGCAGGCCTATTACGTCAAAATTGTCATGATCATCGCTCTTTAGCGAGTTAGCGAGTGATTTGTTTTCATTGATGCGCTTTCTCTCAGGAAGCGCTCTCTTCCTTGTCTCAAAGTGTGTACTGTTGTCTGCTCTGTCGCCTCTGCTATCCCTAACTGTTGTCTGCACTGTTGTCTGTTCTATTGTCTCTGCTGTCTCCAACTGTTGTCTGTTTTGTTATCTCTCCTGTCAGTAACTATCGTCTGTACTGTTCTGTAGGTATGTAGTTGTACCGCTGTCACTGTTCTAGGAGACTGTAACGCCTGTATACGCCCGTCACGGTGTCTCCAGCACTAACGACCAGTCGATGGCGGCTTGGGACATCCTGTAATTGGCCAGAGTCGTGACCGTTTCCACTGTCTCTCCGGGGGGGGAGGGGTAACGGCCGCTCTCTCACCATGCTGAGTCAGCGGAGAGTGGGGGGGGGGGGAGGGGTCCAGCGTCGGTCACGGCCGGCGCGCGTGTGCGTCGCTGAGTCGCCGTCACGCAGACTGAGTCTGAGTCACGATTACCGTGAGTTGGTGAGTCATGGACGGTGAGTCGGCGAGTCATTGGCTTCAGCTGGCTGCAGGTGATTTTTCCCCAGTTCTCATCATGGATACCGTTACCGTATTCCTCAGCTTTGCAGTTCTGAGTTTTTTCCAAAGCCCAAAACCCAAAAGCAATTAACCCATCACCTTCTCACCAAGCATCATCACCTTTGAGAAGGCTTATGGCTCAGCATTGATGCTTGAAGTGAATATCATACGAAATCATACCACGTTTCCTCAATCCTCAATCCAACTGACTAGGCTTTATAAGAGAGCTGGGGTGCGGTTGTGAAACGAACCACCTGTCATCGGTTTGACCCTGACAGACCGGATGACATCAGGATAGATTGTTGGCCGATCAGGATGTTTGCTCTAATGATTAGACGATTGGCATGGCTCCGTGCGTTCTGCGTAATCGTGCGTACAAACTTCCTGTGTGGATTCCAATGCTATGCTTTATCCGAGTGTATCAAGACGAAGATACTATTGTTTGATGAAATTTTGACGTGTCCCGGACGCGTCGTCAAAATTTCATCAAAGGCGCCGTCCGCCCTTTTCATAATTTCCGCCGGGATCCACTTCACGCTCATATGTAGAGGTGGCAAAATGTGGACCCGAGGACCCGGTTCAAAGAACCATTCTGGACCCATATGGGTCCAGACCGGTTCCTGGAAATTTTCTGACGAGTCCAACCGGGTCCTACCATAAACTGTACATCTTGCACACTACAAATTATTGCAAAATATGAAGTGAATGAAGTGAATGTTTCTTGGCACACAGTAGCTCATGAGTATTCCCAGTGGGAAATAGGCTGCTTTACATGATGCAATGATACCTACAAGTAGTTTATATTAATCGACTTTTGGGGAACCGGGTCCAACTGGTTCCGATTCCAACTAAGGCCGGGTCCGACTGGTTCCAGAAATGTCCAGCCGGGTCTGGTTCGAGTCTGGTTCCCAAAATTTTCATCTTTTGCCACCTCTACTCATATGTCCAGGCCACATCCATGGATCACTCTCAATACTGATCGAAAAGATATAGGTGCTTAAGGATCCTTAAAATCGCGAAAGTTTATCTCTCCCGCAGTTTTTAATAAATTCCCATGCCATTCCTTGTCATAGCCAGCTTTTAATGGGACAGCATTAGAACGAATGATGATGAATCGGCACAACCAAGGCGGGAGCCAGCCATTTGTCTGCTTAGTAATTCTACCAGATCTTATCTCGTGGGCTCATATCCTGGTGACGTCCGATATATCGATCACAGTACACTTTTTCCTTAGAAATCTTCTAAATTCTGACTCGTCTTTTTGTTGTCCCGACCAAAACGGGACAAGTCTCAAATTGGTCTCTAATTCCGAAGGGAATGGTGCGATCGAACGAATTTACTGCCCCCTCTGTTCAGTTCAGCTGAGCGCGCCAGTTCAGCTGAGCGCGCCGCGTCGAGCGGTCGCGAGCGCTGCTCGCTCCTCCCCGTTTACCCCCTCTAGCCTTTTCCCTCGCGTGCAAGCGTGTGAGTGTGATTGTGGTCCGACTACCGTGCCAACCCGCGAATTTTGGTGAATCAAGTTCTTTTCTGCGTACATCGCTTCTTCATCATGCATCGCGACATTGCCCGCCTTTTGGCCCTGCTGGCGGTTGTGCGGGTCGTTACTATCGTGGCCTGCCCAGCCCCTGCGCCGCTACCTAGACCAGCAAATGGAGGAGCCGACGGAAAGCTAAGACACCATGTCAGCAGCCGAAAACCAGTGCTCCCTCGTGATACTCGTTACCTATCACCGAGCACCACCCGCGACCAGAATTCAGCCTCCGATCCGGCCACCAAACGGACGCCAGATTTCAAATCTTCCCGAGCCCCCAGGACGACCGCGCGCGTCTCCGCCGAGTCCCCTGAATCGTCCGCCGGCGCGACGCCCGCCCCTTCTCAAGGTCGAAGGGGTGTGCTCAGCTCGCCGCCCGGCCGGTCCCCGGCGGCCGGCCGGCCGCCGGCCGCGGCCCGCAGCGGCGGGAGGAGACCCCAACGACGCGGAGCGCGGGGGAGAAGGGGGAGGGGCACGCGTCGTACTGAGGCGGCGACTCTACAATCTGACCGTCTGTCCAATACCGGACTGCTTATCGGCGCGCTCAACATTCAAAGCCTTAAGCCGAAGCTGCTCGAACTGACCGACGTGGTCAGCAGTCAAGACCTCGACGTTCTCCTACTCTCCGAGACCTGGCTGCGACCCAGCACGCCCAGTCGGCTGGTTGTGCTACCCGGGTACTCACTCAGCCGTGCGGATCGTCCCGACGGCAGTGGCTACGGTGGAGTCGCCATTGCTACCAAAAACTCTATCACCTCTGTAGCGCTAAAACTCACAGTTCCGCCGTGCCGTGAGAGTCAGCTGGAATCCCAGTGGATCCTCCTAAAACTGGAGAAAGATCGTCAGCTAATTGTCTGCTCGCTCTACCGACCGCCCCGCTACTCGGACACTGCCCTACGCGCTGATTTCAACGATCTCGAGTCTCAGCTGCAACGGATCCTGATCGACCACCCCAAGGTTCCGTTTGTCATCTGCGGCGACCTAAACTGCGATTTGCTGAAACACCGGAGTTTCCGCGCGCGTATTCACCTAAGTGACTTTTTATCGGACTACTCTCTCGATCAACTTGTAACTGCACCCACGTACAGCTCCGGCTCACTCCTTGACGTATGTATTGTCAAAACCCGTGAGCTCGTGCTCGACTGTCATGTAAAACACTGTCACTTTAGCCCACACAAGTTCGTAAACGTGCTAGTTAACGTACCTAAACAGCGTAAAACTGCAACTGTCATCACAACCCGCTCAATCAACCGTGTCGATGTCGCGTCCCTAAATCATGACTTGATGTCCATCGAGTGGGACGAAGTGTTCACTGCAATGACCGTGCATGACAAATGGCAAGCTTTTCTGACTCATTTCCTACCCGTCCTAGATGACCATGCCCCTTTAAAGAACCTGACCATTAGAAACCCCACCGCTCCCCCCGTCTCAGCCTCCACCCGTGATATCATGGCCCAACGCACTATGGTTGGAAACGGCCTCACGGATGGCCGTGGGCAATTTCGGAATATATGTATATTTGGGGTGTCATTCTGTTGGAAATTGATGAAATGTTTTGAATTGGGCAGAAAAAATTATTTAGTTGCGCATTTAGTCTTCATTATTGTACGTGGAATCGGGAGTTTCTGATAGTGGCTTTTTTGGTGCGCCGTCAAAGGTTTAAACAACCGCGCTGGTGATAGCATGTGGAGTACCTCCATGACGTTGTAAAACTGGATTATTATATATCAAAATAATCCTTGTTATGTTGGCTATCGAGTGGAGTGACTCTTTTTCCCATGCGTGTTCAAAATCAGGAACGGCATTGCATTCTGTTTGCAGTGTCACCACAGCAATATTTGCAAAATTACGTTTATGTTTCATTGGACATACAAAAAGTTCTCCATCGACCTCCATTGAGCTTTTTGGCAGAATAAGTCTCTGTTAAATTCTGCGTAAGGGGAACGTAAAAGCAGACTGCGCACTTGTGCGCAAAATCGTCCGTGAAGCTTCATCTCCCGAGGCGTACCTACCCGTCGCTTCGTTAGCACCAGGTCGGCTCGTCAGTCTTGCAATCGCTTATCCTTATAAATGATGGTAAGAAGCAGGGTTGCGGAGTCGTGGTGGCGCCAAATCCGACTCCGACTACGACTCCGACTCCTGATTCGTTGCCATGACTCCGGCCGACTCTGTCTCCGACTCCGGACCCCTGCCAGTGTTTCGGAGTCGTGATGGAGCTGTTCCGATTCGGACCGACTCCGACTTCCACTGCGGGCTCCTGACCGACCCCGACTCCGACTCCGACTCCTGGCTCGTTGCCACGACTCTGGGCGACTCTGACTCCGACTCCGACTCTGACTCCGACTCTGACTTCGACTCCGCACCCCTCGTAAGAAGTAACTGCTCGCCGCTGCACCTGGAGTATGGATATCGTGCAAACGTGTATGGATATCCTGGAGTATGGATATGGATATCCACCGACAGAGCAGACATACAGACATGCTGTAAACGCCATTACACTGCTAATACCATGGCAAATCAAAGGGCTATCTATGGTTTTTGATCATCGTTCTACATTTCCCAAAATCTTGAACTGAATGTTGGCAATTTCTCGTGACTACTTCACGACCATGATGCATGCATTTCTGAAATTGATCTTTTTTCAACCAGCCACGTACTCGTATGATAAAATGAATGTCACCATCGTGATCTACGCCCAAAAGTACCCATAAAACATGTGTCATGCATGGGCTGCGAATAGGTACCAGTTTTAATTTTCGGGGTTATGTGCTTACCTGATTGACCTGACTTTGACCATGGCCAGTGGCCTATGTTTGACTGACCCCTACATTGATCTGACACTCTTTTAGCACTTATATGAAGGGTTGTGACAGTTGTGACAGTTGTGACAGATTGTTTAGGACCAACTGATGACTGAATTTATTTAGGACCAACTGATGACGATATAATCGAAACGCGAAACGCGAGGCACCGATTGCGAGGTTCTAAAGTCCATGCTACTGAAAGCCCGATTTCAAGTGTTTGACCTGACTTGACCCGACCTGTGACCTCGAAATTCAACTTAAAAGTATTCATGTGAATCGTCTCGTCGCGTTCTTCTTTCGTTTGCCGCGCCTCGTGCGTTTCGATGCGCCTATTTGTTCGCGAGTTATCGGCTGGGGGCGTTGAACGCCCCCCCCCCCCCCGGCAAACGGCGGATGGGGAAATACCCCAGCAACTGCCGGGTTAATCTGACGCATGTTTTGTCATTTGATCGTCATTTATTTCTTACTTTTTTGCCCAATCTAAAAAAAAATTATAAATAATCTTTCTCCAAATTTTTGACCCTTTATGACCAATAGTAAGACACTGTGCGTCACTACGTTGATATTTCTCGCCCTAAAGCATAACAACAATATCCATTCAGTAATAGCAGTATTCAAAACATGTTCAAAATGCCTCGCGATATCGATAACATAACGAAAGACATAGGCGACTTATAACATACTTGCAATGATGACGTCACACACGCGTGACGTGACGTAACCTCGTCATTTCTGTGTTACTGTATGATGCACGAAAGACACTGGTATACCTATGCAAAGTTTCATCGCAGTCGGTCTACGCATTAACAAGTTATGGGCAAAACATTTTTTCGCGTTGACCCCCGGCCATCCGTGAGGCCGTTTCCAACCATAGTGCAACGGCGCGCCGCACTACGACTGCACGGGCGGGAATCTACAGTTTATAAAGACCTGAATCGTTCAGTTCGTTCTGCCGTTCGCCGTGACCGGCGCAACGTGATTCAGCGGGAAATTAGTGAACGTGGCCCCAACAAGGTGTGGCAGGGAATCAAATCAGTCATAGCTGGTAAAAAAGAAAATAAAACAGTTCAACCCGATGTAACCGCTGACGAACTAAACTCATTTTTCGTGTCCGTCGGCCCCCGTATTGCTACCGAGATCCGAAACCAACACACAGGTACCTATACTTACGCACGGCTCCCACGCGTCGGCGCATGCGGTTTCCAGCCCAGGCCTATCTCACTCGGTGAGCTCGAATGCACGGTTTTCAGTATGCGGAACTCAGCCGCCTGCGGAGCGGACGGTGTGTGCATCCGCATGCTAAAAACCAGTTTCTTGGCTATTGGCAGCGTCATACAGCACATCATAAACACCTGCATCTCGAAATCTGACATCCCCGAGCAATGGAAGCATTCCATAGTCCATCCCATTTTCAAATCCGGAAACCCATCTGACCCCAGCAACTTTCGACCCATTTCTCTAGTACCAGTTATCATGAAAGTTGTTGAACGAGTCATCCAGCAGCAGCTACAACACTATCTCTCTCAAAATCACCTTTTGGCACCTAGTCAGCATGGCTTTCGACCCCAACACTCAACTGAAACAGCACTTTTGTCCGTCACCGACCGCATCCTAGCTGCCACGGACAGGGGAGACATATCTTTCCTATGCCTTATCGATCTCAGCAAATGTTTCGATGTCATAGATCATAAACTCCTTCTCGACAAACTCGCACTGTACGGCATCGAAACTCCTTGGTTTAAAGCATATCTAAAAGGTCACACACAAAGCGTTTCAATGACCGATGGACTCCTGCGCAGTGTTCTGTCACGACCACTCCCTAACACTATGGGCGTGTTTCAAGGCTCGGCCCTGGGTCCTCTTTTATTCACGATCTTCTCAAACGATTTGGCGCTTCACGCCGACGACGCATGCGTTTTCCAATATGCAGATGATACCCAGCTTCTAGTGAGTGGCCCAAAAAACAATGTAAGTGGCCTTATCTCGCGCATGGAGGCCTCACTAGAAGCACTGAACAAATGGTTCCACTCTAACGCCCTGAAGGTCAACGCGAGCAAAACGCAACTCATGATATTCGGCAGCCGTCAAAATCTAAAACACTTGCCCCCAGTCGTCGTATCGTTTCGTGACACGGAGCTGGAACCATGTGCGCAGGCAGGAAACCTCGGCGTGGTGTTTGACAGCTGTCTGACCTGGGAAGCCCATGTATCTGAGCTCAGCCGGAGGTGTATGGGTCTGCTCATCGGCCTCTCCCATGTGCGGCACTGTCTTCCCGATGGGGTCATCAAAACCATTGTCACATCTCTAGTCATCTCCCGAGTAAATTACTGCCTCTCAGTTTACGGAAATGGTACAAAAAAGAACCTGAATCGACTCCAAAAGATCTTGAACTTCGCAATCGCTACTCGAGTTATTTTTGGCCGTCGCAAATTCGACCACGTCACTGACCTGCGCGAGAAACTCAACTGGATGCCGCCCGAATTTATGTACAAACTTCAAACCATGGCCACTGCACGTAAGGCGATACACTACGGCGAACCGGTAGCACTTGCCTCTATGTTTGCCAAAAACCGGGACTCCTCAACCAGGAATAGAAATACACGTCAGGATAACCTTCTCCAGCTCCAGCGTCCCAGACTAGAAACCGGTAAGCGGCGTTTCAGTTACCGTGCCGCCGAGCTTCTAAACGACCTACCTCCCGACCTCTCACAGCTGCCACCCTCTAAATTCGCACGCGCTGTCAAGTCTCTGTGGAAAAACGATAGACCTTCGTGATGGCCTGAATTAGGCACTCGTCTTGTATGTATATAAGTACCTACACGGTATGTTAGAAATCGTAGCATATAGAGTCTTCCTGTGTGTGCGTGTATGTGTGTGTGTGTGTGTTGTTGTTCGACTGGTCTCTATTCCTGCATGCTTATACCCGACTCAGACTCTGGGCAGTAATCGCCACGCCATGTGTGGATCGCCCATGATCGTAAATACAATACAATACAATACAATACAATCCATTAGCCCTGTGACCTTGGCTTCCTTTGATCCTATCCCTAATCGGTAGCTCTATCCCCCTGTTTCGTTCCCCGGGGAACAGACCACATGTTGTCCTCTCCCCTCCTCTCTGGCCGGTCCCTCCCCTCCTTTCTGACCAGTCCTCTGCTGTGACTAGCAGCGGAGATAAGCACCTCACTCCCTCTACCTTACAACGCTGACCATCCTTCCTCCCTGCCCCTGCCTGCCATCCGCGCCTCCCTGTCCCTGCCAGCCAGCCCTCTCCGGCACCGGCGGCCCGTGGGAACGCCCCGGCCGACGCGCGAGCCGGCGCCGGTGCTCGCCACACTGCGTCGCTCCTCGCCACACCGCGTCGCTCCTCGCCACACCGCGCCGCTTCTCGCCGCACGGCGCCACGCGGCCGGATATCAATGTTTATCGCCGCGCGCGGCCGGCCCTACACCCCGCCCCGGGCCCGATTACGGAGCCGGCAGAGCACGGATTACGGAAAGGATCGGCGGACGGCGGCTGTGTGAATGGAGGAGAGAGGGGCGGAGGATGGAGAGAGCTGGGAGCGCCCCGTTGTTTGTTGTGTGTCCGCCGGGATCGGATGGCGGCGGATTGACGAGATTTCAGCGGCTTGGCGGTCCTCTGAGCCTGCCTGTTGTCTTTGATCACAGCACTGGGACAATAGGGAGGCACGGGAGCTGTTGGCGACCTCAGGCCCGGGATTTGGAGTGACCCTGAATGAATGACGTGGTGTGTGAATGGCCGCACGCTTTATCAAAGAGGCTGACGGACAGGAGGCGAAAAACTGGCGATGTTGTCATTCACAATGCAGATCTTACAGCAGAAAAAGAAACGTTCACTTCGATAGTTGTTATGCTGCCAGTATTCGTCCACACCTTGGTAAATTATTATAGCTTTTTTAATCCAATATCGAATCCTTACTTTCTGGCTTCCGGCAGCGAACCATACAAGACCCATACCCCGATCTATTGCTATATAGTGAGCAGCGACCGGCAGAGGTAGTAAAAGAACTGACCACGACTCTCTGACGTCAGCTGATGTGTTATGATGTGGGGTGATGTGCCACGCCATCAATCTATGTTGTGTTGTGACTGCTGCTGACGTGTTGTTCCCCAGTGACGATGTTGTGACGGTCTGTGATTATGTTGTGACTCCCTCCCGTTCATATTATGACCTGCCGACCATGAGACCCTCTCTAACCCGCCTCCTGAACGTGTTACAGCTGCTGAGGAAGCGCTATATCGGCAACGACATCGTCACCATCGTCTTCCAAGAGCCGGGCGCGCTGCCGTTCACTCCCAAACACATCCGCTCACAGTTCCAGCATGTGTTCATCGTGGTACAGGCCGTGGAACCGTGCTCTGAGAGGACACGCTACCGGTGGGTAGAGGGGAGAGGAGAGAGAGAGAGAGAGAGAGAGAGAGAGAGAGAGAGAGAGAGAGGGAGAGAGAGAGGAGAGAGAGAGGAGAGAGAGAGGAGAGAGAGAGAGAGAGAGAGAGAGGAGAGAGAGAGAGAGAGAGAGAGAGAGAGAGAGAGAGAGAGAGAGAGAGAGAGAGAGAGAGAGAGAGAGAGAGAGAGAGAGAGAGAGGAGTGGGGGAGGATGCGGGATGTAACGCCCAAACCAGGGCACTCTGAGGTCGATGCGGGTCCCGGATTCGCGCTGTGTGTGCTGGTTGGCCGGTTAACTGGGCTTTGCTCGCTGGAGGGTGGTGAGGGGTGAGAAACTCAGTCACGGCCCCACTACTCGCTACTATAAGCGGAAGTTAGCGACAATGTGTCGGAACCATGACGACCCGGTGATGTGGGTTTTGCACGCCATAACTTGTGGCTGGCCCGGTTAACAGAGTCTAAAACGGGACTACCAGGCAACGGGATAGTTTGCGAGTTAGCCAGAGTCGAGCAGTAACAGCTTGTTGGCTGTCAACATCGCCAGAATAGTGTGGAGCGAGCTGTTGTGCTGATTTGTCACCTTACCCGTCACGTGACCCGTTATCTGACCTGTCATCTGACCTGTCACACCACTTCCTTCAGTGTGGCGGTGAACCGGTTCCGAGACGTACCGCCGTTCGGACCTCCAATACCAGAGGACGCCACGTTCCCCAAGTCGCAGTCGTTCGCCGAGTTCCTATACGCCAAAGGTGAGAAGAAACCCACCGCTCCCGGGACCACCAGCGCTGCCTATGGCCCACTGGGACCGCTGCAGCCGGGCCGGGACGTTTGTTGAGCTGGCTCGCTCATACCATGACGCGGACACGTGCCACGGTGTCAGGCCGTCGATAAATCCAGCGTGATTTATGTGCCGCCGATGTGTGGGCCGTGCAAACGTGCAAGGCAGCCGCCGAGCTGACGGCCGGCTGACGCTGTTTACATACGGGTCATCTGTATTAGTCGGCGCTGACGCTGATGGGATATACAATACATACATACACCTTGTATGCCATCATCTCGGGGGATGTTGGGTCGCTTTTAGGGAGCTGCTAAAAGTGCCGGCTTATCTGTCGGCATTATATGTTCCATGTCATGTGTCTGATAGTATGTCTCCATTGCCTCTGCCTTTATACGTGTGTTCCTACTTGGCATGACACCACATCTCCATCCTTCAGTGATCAACGCGGAGACGGCTGCTTACCAGTCAGACAAGTTTGTGACGATGGCGAGACGCACGCGCCAGGAGTACCTCCGCGACCTGGCCGCCAACTACCTCACTGAAACACCGCTCGACGCGTCGCCAAAGTTCTGTAAGTCACCTCAACGCCGCCGAGCTGGTGATGAGCCGTGGGGTGCCCGAGTTGTGAAAGATATTTTGAGCGTCGCGTAAATTGTAAATGTGCTACGTAAATCAGCGAGATGACTCCTGTGTAATGGGGTGGATGGTGACGTGTGATTCGTATCCAGCAGTTGTGTAAACATTGTTAGATGTTGATATGGGCGGTTGAGATGTCAGTTCGGGCTCGTGGAGCATAGCTCGCGTGCCATGTGTATCTCAGTTGTGATCCGTTATGCATGATTATCCACCGCATACCATCACGGCGTCGAATTTCTATCTCATTACTAACGTCGTTTCTCCTTCTATCTCTTGCAGCCATCATGTCGTTCAGCAGTCGGAAGAAGGACCGTCTGAGGCCGCGGTTTAACCCTGACGCCATCCAGCGAGGTGCCATCAGCTGGCAGGTCACCGTCGACGATCACTCGCTGGGAAAACAGGTGAGAGGAGCTAGTTAGCCAGTTAGTTAGCTACTATAGTTAGTTACTAGTCAGACGTAATCGAGGGATGTTGTCTGCTCTCTGGTGAACTGTCGGGTGTGTCTGCGATCTTTTGTCTAGCATGTGTCCGTTATATGCTCTCAGGCTGGTTGTCTTAACCCTATTCCTGGCGGGCTCCGCCGGGACAAGAAACTGGCGGGGGGGGGCCGATTCGGCCCCCCCCTGAGATCTCGAGAACGAAGCAAGATAGCGACAAGCGGTAAACGGCATCGGATACGCACGGCCAAGATCTACAATTTTTACTAAGGTCATTTTCAGGTCAGGTCAAAGATGACGTCACAGGGGTCGAAAAAGTCAAAATGGCGGCACTAGATATGGAGAGAGTTTTTCTCGAATAACTTTCGAATTAGTCAAGATAAGAACAAACTAAGGGCATCATCGTGATCCTCTCGTCAATCCGCATCGAATGATATATATGTTGACCTCGAAAGGTCAAGGTCAAAGGTTGACCTCAGGTCACGTGACCTCGAGGTCATCATGTATATCATTCGATGCGTCTTGACGAGCTGAACACAATGAGACCATCCACGCGTCTGTATCTTGTTCCTGTACGGAGTTATTGGCCAAAAACCTTTGGTGACCTTTGGTGACGTCACATGACCTCACAGCTGCCCAACAGCAAAACAGACCTCAAGGTAGTGAAGGTTGATCGTATATGAAGTCATGTATGGTATATGGGGCCATTCCGACACGTTTTAGTGGTAAAAACAGGGAGTTGATTTTTTCCCCATTGACTTATAATGGGGAGGTCGCGAAATTGACCTGACCTTAGGTCACCGATATCAAAATTCCGAGATATACAAATTGTACATACTGGTACCCTAACTAAACCCTGAAGAGAAGAAATTGATCGGTCAAAAACTCTAGCTCTGGCGTGATTGCAAACTTTTCTGAGGTAGCGTCACCAAACCGCCTCTGGTGACCTGACCTGAGGTCAGATCAACTCAAAATTTTCAGACATGTTGCGTAGAAGCCTTTTAGGAAAAGTCAGAAAATTTGAGCTTCCTAGCTCAACGCGTTTGGGAGATATAACCAAAAAACCTCAGGGGGGGCTCCTGAGGCCCCCCCCCCCCGCCAGGAATAGGGTTAAGCTGGACCTGCCAGATGCAGGGTTACTTTTACAGGAAAAGTTGAGAGGGGGAATAAAGTTCGGGGCAAAGGCGGATCCAGGGGCATCTGAAAGGGGGGTGGGCGGCAATACCATTAGGTTTTTCGTTAGGATGGAGCCCGCAGAACCTTACCTACCCCCAAATCCTATTCTTTCCTCGGGTTTCAGCCACTTTATTTTGGAAGGTTGCCAAAAAATAATTTTGCTAAAAAATATACGCACCTACCTTGGCTGTAAGGGGCGGGGGAGGTCCCAACTTGACTGCGCCCTTGCAAATGCCAATCAGTAGTATCAACCTATCAGTGGTATCAATAACTAGTAGGTATACCCCGGCCAAACATTAAGTAACGCCTTTCTAAAGAGAGAGGTTAATCCGCGCCCTGATTGGAGGTCATTTTGGCCCCCATGTGGGTTTTCTTGAAAAGCGAAAAACGGCGGCGCGCAGCGCCGCCAAATTTTTAGTACCTTACCGGGCATCAATTTGAAACCTTCGCACAAAATTTCAAGTCTTAGGTCACCTTAGGTCAGGAGTAATTGATGTCAAACTGTTCGAGCAAAAATGAGCAAAAAACATGAAATTCTTAAACGCTCACAAAAGCCACTGGCGGTCCCAGGGGGGGGGGGGGGGCCACGGGGGCCATGGCCCCCCTTTGGTGCTGAAAGGTGGGGCCATACTATCTTTTGGCCCCACCTTTCATATCGAACAAAAGTCCTAGAAAAGCTTTTCGTATGTTTCATTTTCTTTCTTGCGCCATCAAAGGACGTAAATTTCACTCATGAGTGGGCTCAGTTTCGCATTCTGTCAATTTGGCGGTCAGCGTCGCTGGCACCGGTTCACGAGTATGGCCGGATCTTATATGGAATATCAGCGTGGGTTTACTTGAGGCTCTCGTAGGCCCAGCAATGGCTGGCATGAGACCCTCTTCGGCAGTGGTGGTGGGCCCTGCTAAAGGAGATTGGCTCTAAGACACTAAAGTAAGACCTCATGCATGGGTTGGTGCTGTGCACATCAGAAGCCCGGTGGTGACGCCGTATGCCGGCTTGGTTTCTTAAGGATTAGCGTGGGAACTCCGGGGCCTGCATAGAGTTTGCATGAGCTAGTGTGTAATCTCAGAGGCCTGTGTGTAATGTGTACGCAGTGGCGGTTGCGGGGGGGGCATCAGGGCCATGCCCCCCCCCCAAAGGTCAATAAAGGGGGCCATCATATCATTTGCCCCCCCCCCCCTCAAACAACCAATGGGCCCCCATATAGGTGTATGGGGTCCTGGCAATTATTCGATCGTCACGAGGCTCAAAAAAAAACCACGCCCAGCTATTAATATAGCTCCCACACCGGTCTTTGAGCGTCCTACACTGACCTCTGAGGGAACTTCAGTGGCGGTCAAGCGCCCACGTTGACCGCTAAGAGCCTACATCAACCTCTGAGACCCCACATCTGGCCTATGAGGGCCCCTAACCGGCCTCAGGGGTCCCAACCGGCGTCTGAGGGTCTCACACCGGTCTCTGGGGGCCTTATTTCTGTCTGTGGTGTCCCAAGACGAACCTTTAGGTGCCAATGAGGGCTCCGCACTGGCTGCTGAAGACCCGATGCCGGCCTCTAAGGGCCTGCATTGGCCTCTGAGGAGGGCCCATCTTGGCCTTTGAGGGCCCTCTGCTGGCCTCTGGGGTCCAACGACGGCTCATGCCGGTCTTTTAGGGCCCCACGCTGACCTCTGAGGGCCCATGTTGGCCTGTAATGACCCACATTAGCCTCTGAGAGCCCAACTCGGTCACTGATTGTCTCAAACTACTGGCCTTTGTAGTTTGCAGGCCCTGTACTGGTCTCTGAGGGCCCTAAACTGGCCTCTACGTGAAAACATACATGGGTGGGTTTCTGAAGATCAGAGGGCTCACGCAGTCTCCGGCACAGCCTTACGTTGGTCCTGATCGAGATTACTTTACGTCCTGGTGGTCCCGCGCAGATTCCCTCATATTTCGACGTCGGGACCCCATGAGCCGGTGTGGGTCCTGGGGCTGGCAGAGACTGATGAAGTCCTTAGGGCTCAGGGCCAGTCTTTTTAGCAGTAAGACTAGGCAGGTTGAGTGAGCCCCAATAGAGCCGCTGCGAAGCCCCGCAGGAGTCGCGCGCGACCCTCAGATGCCAATTTTGAAAGCTCGGAACCTGTGGGGAGTCTCCAAAGGTCGGTGTACCTACTCTCTCCCGCCGCCACACAACTAGGTATGTTACCTATATGGGTAAATGTCATAGTCTGAAAATGCTCTCTGGGTTTCACATGCTTGTTCAAAGCAAGAGGTATCTGCAAAGTATTATCAAAGTATTATCTGCAAAGTATCAAAGCAAGAGGTACCTACTTTTCCGAATTGTTTTATAGTGGTAAGGTCATGAATCCGCGTGCCTGACCTTCCAGTATACCTATGCTACACCGATTCGTCGTCATGGTGCAGTGGGCCGACCGGTGGAAGCACCGTGGGACGGGAAATGGAACTGGTGATTTTGCCTTAAATTGAGCTTAAAGATTTCACGCTAGAATCAGATGGATGAAGCATAAGCAATGCCAACTGCGCGGCACCTCGTGGACGTAAAAAAATTAGCCGATCACCCCCCCCCCCTCCCGGTGACGGATACATGTTATGTCCCGCGAGTGTGACTTTGGCCCCCCCCCCCCTTTTGCTAGCGGCTGCGACCGCCAGTGACAAAAGCTACAGTTAACGAGCAATTCCAAAGTTTTTTGTGTGGTCGTGTATGTAGAGAAACGACGGCGCTACAAAACTGCAACCTCTACAACTACAAGGTGGGCAGTGATATCCGAACAAAAACTAATGAAGCACAAAACTTGAATTATTACTATTAGTATTAGTGAGCATTGAAAGTTCCATTGGGAAAGCCGGCTGTGATGAGGTACTTTTTTTTGCGCCCTGCTCTGCATGCAAAGCAGATGAACGTGAATGCTGCATAAAGAGAAAAGTCATTTATTACTCAAAGCTTTGATGCCTATGGGACAAAAATAACGTTGTTTTTCCTTCAATGATTCCGGTTTGGAGGATGGTTAAACACGGCCATTGTCATATTGGGACAAAAATTTTAGATGTCTGGCCTTGGCGTCGATGAAAAAGTGAAAATAATCGTGAATAAATGGGTCGTTTCTGAGAAAGAACACAGAATATAAAAGGGGGTCCAAAAGGGGGTCACCTTCTTTTTGCGTCAAAGGAGGGGCCATGGCCCATTGCCCCCCTCCCCCTGTATCCACCCTTGGTTCGGAGAGGTAATCCCGTCCCCCGCCGGTTTCTACGCCGACGCCTGTACCGATATGTCAGTGATTGCGAAAAGACGGAAGAGACGAGACAAGAGACGGTCCCACCGACTATCCGATCGGTATCGGGTCAAATCTGGAGTTCCTGCTGCACTGAACGTAAAATGGTTGGATGGAACCGAAAATTGAAAATTAATAATTATCTTAACGCCAGCAACGTTGATTGATGACGAGAATCTGATTAACGATGACTATAGAATCTGAATAGCGAATTGATTGAAAATGGGCTCCAAAATAAATTTGAAAGGGGGAAATTCCCCCTTCCCTCCCTAGCCGTTCAGACACGATTTGAAAGGGGGAGCGGAATTTTCGAAGGGGGGAAATTCCCCTCTTCCCCCCCTTTAAAAGTAACCCTGGCCAGATGTATGACATTTGTCTGTTGTCCGACCTGCGTTCGTTGTCTGTTCTGTAGTGGAATTTCCGTTGTTTAAATATGTTGACATACATTCGTCTGCTGCCCTCTCGCAATCGGCCTGTCTGTTTTGGGCGTCTGCCCTCTGACACGAGTCTCCCATCTGTTATGTATGTCTTCTGTCTGACTCGGTCTGTTATCTACCCCCAGGTCGACTGTCTGCTGTGTTTGTGTCTGTTGTCTGACTCGCTTCATTGTCTGCCCTCAGGTGGACTGTCTGCTAGGCGTGTCTGCCGACTCGCTGGTCCTAGCTGAGGAGAGCGCCGGAGCCCTGCTGTTCGCCGCCCCGGTGGCCAGTGTGCTCGGATGGACACTGCGGGGCACCAGGTAAACACACGAGACAGGACGTGGTAGGAGGTGTTGAGGGACGGACTTGTTCGATGATAGTACCCTGTTTTACGGACGCATGGTTTATGTTTTGGTGTGTTATAGGCTTCTAGTCAATATAAGGCAGTTTACCAGGGGTTCCTATACACTTTAATAGGGTATAGGAAGTTCAAATGGATAGCGATCCTACATGGGTAATGCAGAGTCCTGCAGTGGATGTTCATACTGCAGCGTATGTATGCTCCTGTGACCTGACCTGAACTTCCCTGCTCCTGGCAGTCTCTGCATCTACTACCACCAGGGAGAGTGTGTGGTCCTGTGACCTGACCTGACCTGACATTCCCTGTTCCAGGCAGTTTTTGCGTGTTCTTCCACCAGGGGGAGTGTGTGTCCTATGACCTGATCTGACCTGACCTGACCTGACCTCTGTCTCCGCAGCCTGTGCGTCTGCTACCACCAGGGGGAGTGCGTGGTCCTGTGACCTGACCTGACCTGACCTTTCCCCTGCAGTTTGTGCATCTACTACCACCAGGACCACCAGGCTCTAGGACCTCTATACCCACTGTCACGAATCCTTTCTAGGCACATTCTCAAAAACATTTATACTGTTTACATTCTCCCCATATTTGACTACTGTGACGTGATCTACGATGGACACCTGACTACTCATGACTCTCTACGACTTGAACGACTCCATAACAGAGCCGCTCGACTCATCACAGGAGCTCTTCTCAGAACACATACCAAAACTCTACTACAAGACTTGGGTTGGACTACACTCCAAGCACGAAGGGAGATCCACAAACTCACCACGCTCCATGCACTTATGAAGGACAGGCACACACTACCACCAAACACGATTGCACTTCTACCCGACACACGAGCACAAGACACAGGACGACCACTTCGCAATGCGGCATCACTCACGCTCCCTCCAAATCGAACTACATTCTATCAAAAATCCTTCATCCCATCCACCATAAGGATCTGGAATCGTCTGCTATCACACATCAGGTGTTTACATTCATCACGTTCCTTTAAGCGAGAGATACGAGAGCGCTTGGGCGAAACCCCACAACCTTTGTACTACAATTTGGGATCGAGAACGGTAAACATTTTGCTAACTAGATTGAGACTCGGAATGTCGCATCTTAACGCACATATGTTCAGAATTCAAAATCAGCTTGTAGATGGTCCGAATTGCTCCTGTGGCTATCATTGCGAGGACCAAAAACATTTTATTTTGCACTGTCCCCTTTATGCTAATGCTAGGATTAGAATGCTTTTTAAATATCACAATTAATTCCTACTTTCTCACAATTACTTGACAAAGTACAACTTGACATACGTTTGAAGGGAACTCACATAGCAAGTAATCAAGCGAAGCAAGTGGCGAATATCATTCAGGGATTCATTTTTGAAACAAAACGATTTGCTTAAAAAAAAAGATGCCATGGGCAGTGGACAGCAGATGTGGTCTACTATAGGACCAGACGGGCTCCGCCGGCCTGTGGCGAAACTCTGAGTTGCCAAGCATTGGGCCCCCGCCCCTATGACCCATCCGGGCCAACCTGGGTACCGGTCCCACTGAAAGGGACCGGTCGGCCGCCCGGGCGGGCGGGGCGCCGGCCTGTCGGGTCGGGTCGGCGCTCCCCTCGCCCGGGCGGTGGTTAGGGGGCACCCCCGGGAAAGATGATTTTCCGGGGGTGCGGGCGGGGGCTCGCGGCCCGTCTGGAGCGCCGGGGAGGTATCCACCAGATCTCCCCGGCCCGGGGAGGTATCCCACAGCTCTCCCCGGGGCCGGGACGGCATATGCCATGGAACGGCACCGTCCCGGTCTGGCCAGACGGGCCGCCGTACAAAGTTAGGGGGAAGCCGCAGGCTGGCGGAGCGCGTGTGGTCCAGCTGTAGTGGTCGGAAGGTCTGTCGGGGCGGCGGGGTTGCGCGTGGGACCTGGTGTGTGTGTGTGTGTGTGTTTATTTCGGTGATGCTCTGTTTCGTTTTGTTTTGTTGAAGAGGTGCCTCGTAATAAGTTTATGTTTTTGCACCAATTCAACTTTATTTCTGTCCATTGTCCATGCCAATAATCATAAATAAACGACAAACAAACAAACAAAGGGCGAGTGTGTGGTCCTGTGACCTGACCTGTCCTGACTTCTCTCCGCAGCCTCTGCGTCTACTATCACCAGGGAGAGTGTGTGGTCCTCCATCCGCGCACCTCTCTGGACACAGAGGAACTGGCGGAGATCGCCGCTCGCCTGGCCGCCGTCTCGGAGGGGGCCGATACTCAGGTGTGTCAGAGGGTCAGATGGGTTATGTATTTGAATGTCAGACTGATGGATGAAAGGAGTAGGCGATATAGATTCTGGACTTAAAGGAACTATCCCACCTTCTAAAATGTTGCTAAAACCAGTTAAATTGTGCCCGCTTTTATAGATTGGATGACCAGGAACACGGTTCTGGCATTTATTTTTCAACATCTTAGGCTTCCCATATTCCAAACACAAACTTTCAAATATGTGACGTCACAGCCCAAAATTACCTCCTTCCCCAGGCCACATTACTGTCATAAAGCTGATTCTTTTTACTATGTAGGCACCACAACAAAGTTCAGACCAAGTTTTAAGCGATTTTTCTACGAACAAACCCATTTAAATCAGAATAACTAAACGAGGTGACGTCACACTAACGGTCGCTCCATGTTGAAGATAGGGCCTTGCGCAAGGCCCATTTTCAAATAAAGGGAACGAATTTCTTCAACACCAAGAGGCCGCGGGGGTTGCAACCTAGATAGATAGTGGTTGCTGAACCTCGCCGCAAACTTGGCTATCTCAACTCAAACCCCATGTTAAAGGTGGGATAGTCCCTTTAAGCAAAAAAAAAAAAGTTTTGTCATGTGTGGCATCAATGGCTTGAGACGAGATAATTCGTTTGAGACACCCCTCATCGCCTCTGGCGTAGCCGTAATATGTATCGGATATTTGACGCACAGCCGGATTATTGAATAGAGTTTGAAGCTCATGACATGACGCCACCTGCTACCCGTGTTAACTCGAGGCTTTTGCCCTTTATTTGCGATATAGTTATCATATGTTTGGCGATCACGTTATGTCCTTCCTATCTCTCTAACCTCCCCGCTCTCCCCTCTCCCGACCAGGAGCTGCTGCTGCGGCGGAACGCCATGGGCCAGCTGGGCTTCCACGTCCAGCACGATGGACTGGTGACAGAGGTGGAAAACTACAGCCCCGCCTGGCAGGCCGGACTGAGGCCCAACGCCAAACTCGTGCAGGTCAGCCGGGAGGCCGGGTTATTGTGAATAAGAAGGGATTTTGGAAGGAGCCAAAGCAACACGGATATCTTAGTTTCAGCAGCTATATAAGTCTATGGTTGTTGAGTAACGTAAGCTCATTCACTGCTCAGCTTCAGAACTGCAACACTGTTTCTAGTCACTTGATTGCATCGCAGAGTACCATCGCCTTTCATTGAACCCGAACTCGTCAATATCGCTTATCGGGCCGCTGGTCTCACACTGGCCTTTTTTGACCTGCCTGGCTCATGCACGCTCCCGTTCTCTGGCCAGGTAGGTAAGTTCGGTGCCATTCTTTGACCTGTCCGGCCTAGGCTCGACCCAGTCCTCTGACCAGATCATCTCCGTTACGCTAACATCTGGTGTCCCCCTCGCCAGATTTGCCAGATGGCCGTCTGCACCATGACCCACGACCAGATGGTGGACCTGCTGAAGACCTCGGTGACCGTCTCGGTGACGGTCATCCCGCCGGCGGCCGACGGGGCGCCCCGCCGCGGCTGTCTGCTCGCCTCCTGCGGCGCCCCGCTGCTCGAGGGCGACTATGAGAACGTGCCTGCCCGCGCGGCGGCCGGCAGTGGGGGTCAGACTGCAGGGGCGGGCCGGCAGCAGTCTGCTAACCGCCCGGCGCCGGAGACGCGGCCCGCCTCGCCGCCGCCGCCCTCGGTGGTGAGCTCGGGCTACGGCACGGGCGGCAGCGGCCGCTCGTTCGGTGCACCCATCTCGCTCTCTCCCGAGGCCAGTGGCACGCTGAGCAGTTCGTCCAGCGGCTCGGCAGACCGCTGGCTGGAGCCGGACGAGGCGGAGTCGCCGCCGCCCCCGCCGCCACTGCCGACCCGACACAGGCAGCGGGTGGCGGCGACACGCAGCGCGGAGACGGCAGCGCCGCCCGGCGGACAGACGGACAACTACGGCAGGCCGCAGGAGTACCGGCGCAGCCAGCCCGCAGAACAGGTGAGGATTGTATCCTCTTCTCTCAGGGAAGGAATCTATGTCAATTATGGACCACAGTGTTATCTTCACAGCGGTGCAATTTCAGCTGTAATGCATTATCAGTGCTTTTGCAGTCGGAACGCCCTAAATTCCGAACAAACTACGACGAGCATGTAGTGTGTCAACGCCTGCTGTCATTGGCACACTACCGCTGATTGCCACCTCTCACCACATGTTTCCTTCTCCCCAGGGCCGGCGGCCGGATCTGCAGGCGCTGGATTACATCGAGCTAACCTCTCTGCCGCGGCCAGTGAAGGTGGACGGTTCAGGGCCGGTGGGTGTACGACTGCGCTCCACCTACCCGGCCGACCGTGGACCCGACCGGCCGCCGCTGGTGAGGATGGACGCGACTTCTGGCGGGTAGATCTCCTCTCCTGAGGGGCCAGTGCTGTCTTCCAACCGGCTTGCTTTTCTGATGGGCCCGGGAGGACCTTCCAACCTCTGTCAGCACAGACCGTCTCCTGAACGCCCAAGCCATAGGTCATGAAAAACCAGATCCTCTCCCCCACGTGGCAAACCTCATCTCCTGAGAGCAGCAGATCTATCGAATGTGGTTCCTAAACGGCAGTACTCTTCTGGCTAAACAAGGACGGGCTTATGTGGAGTTGTGAAGGCTTTGCTGTACTTGTTGCTTGGATTACATACTCAAGATATTTTCATCCGTACCTACCTGATGAATGCTTGAATGTGGCCCCTGTAGCTAAAGCAGTATGCTGTCGTTTATTTGGTTGTAGAACATTACAGATCCGGTAACCACAAAAGGTGGCGTACGGTATCAATGTCGGTTCATCAGTAACTGCTGCGTCAGCCAGTTCAAATGCCCATGTGTATTGTATGTGTGCGTTAAACTTTGTTTTTAACACCTTCTTTGCCTTGTTTCAGCCCCAGGACTACTACCATCTGTCTGCGCTAGTTCCGTCGTCCTCGGCGCCTGGATCCGCCTCTGGATACGCCCGACTGGGTCCCTCCACTACCTCCGCCCCTGCCGCTGACCTGGCGCCGGGTCGGACCGGGCGCACCTCGAGCAGAGAGCGACTGGGCGCGCCACAGGAGAACGGATATGGCGCGAACGGCACCGGCGCGGGCACACTGAAGGCGGGAGTCACAAATGGAGTCACTAATGGAGTCAGCAATGGAGTCACAAACGGAGTCACGAATGGAGGAGTGAATGGAATCACAAACGGAAGCATGAACGGAATGGCGAATGGTGTTGTGAATGGTGTCACGAATGGCGTCACGAACGGCATGTCTAATGGAGTCGCCAATGGAGTCGGCTCCGGTGGGTCGCACGGTCAGGGTCACGGCTCTGGCCGCCCCTGTCCGGGGCTGGGTCTGGCCGGCTCGGGCCGACTGCACGACTACAGCGGCAGCTACCACGTGGCCAGTCAGGAGTACGGCAGCGGGCCCGACCTGCTGGCCGGCTTCCCGCACCGTCACACCTCCTCCACCGGCAGCCCCAGTCTGAAGAGCGCCTCGCCGTCGTCAGTGTCCTCGGCGGGCGGACGGCGGCCGGCCGACGCCGACCCGCTGGAGCGGCCGCTCTCCTCGCGCAGTGAGGACGAGCTGAGCGCCGCCAGTGGTTCCCCGGCCACCCGGCGGCGACTGCGAGCCGCCGCGGCCACCCCGTCCACGGGCAGCGGCTCGAGCCGCACCCAGAGCCCGCGCGGCGCGGCGCCGGCCGCAGAGAGCGGCGCCGCGCGCCGGCGGCCCGGCGCCGCGGCGCGCTCCAGTGTGCACCGCGCGTCCGGCGCCGGCGCCAGCCTACAGCGCGAGCTGATGCGACTGATTGGACCTGACGAGCCGCCGCCGGCGGCGTCACCTCCCGAGCAGGGCGTCATCGTCACCACGGCGCGGCCGGCCACCGTCATCGCGTCACCGGCGGCGGCGGGCGCCGCGTGGCGCGAGGACCTGCGGCGGGTGTCTCGCCAGGAGCGGCTCTCGCCGCGTGTGACGGCCGGCCCGGCGCGAACGGACGTCCCGCTGCCGCCGGTGGGGCCTGTGGACTGGCAGGCGCTGGTCGACACGGCTACAAGGGCGGGCAAGGAGACGGCGGTGGCCACCAGGTGAGACCGAGACCGCAGAGGTGGCCGATTATGGTGCGGAGGGAGGGATGTAGGCTGGTTCAGCTGGTGGGCATATTTGCAGCTTGCTTGGCTAACTGTTTTTTTCGAGTATGTGAAATTGCGACATTGTTTTCAGTGATTGAAGTTATCACTGTTATGCTTTCCGAGATCATTTGCACTTACTGTTTGTCTTCAATTGGTATGTATTCACACTGTCTCCTAGTTATACGTGCGGATGAGAGACATCTGACCGTGCGCATTGCCTCATTTCAGGAGTACCCAGTCAAGCGGAGTGAGTCAGTACCCGCGTGAGTCGCGCCAGAGTCCGTCCGAGGAGCTGCGCAGTCGTCTGACTCTGCTCGAGCGGGAGCTGGTTACCGAACAGACCAAACGGGAGCTCCTAGAGTCTCAGGTGAGGAGGGGTGGTAGGTGGGTCGTGACACCGCGGAAAGGGAGTGTGATTTGGTGCCATGGGACGGCGGTAGGAGACGGCTGGAGACTGATGTACATGTCATGGATAGATTGAAAGAGGATGTGTGGCTCTATGGTTGTGTGGATCCTTATCACCAGATGACTCATTATACCAACTATAGTGTTTGTCTTTTTAGCTCAGCTACCCATTGTCCCATCGTAGAGTGCTTTGCGCTTTGCATCCTGTTCCGATTGTCTGACACGGGCACCGTTGACCGCTGCATTCCGGGCGCCCCATAAACTCCCAAATCATCATCATCATGTTGCCTGACGTCATGTCTAACCAGTGGCGTCATTTCGTTTTCGTCAGGTGTTCCAGCTAAGCTCCGATAACCGTCGTCTGCAGGAAGAAAGCAAGCAGGCGGCGCACCAGCTGCGAAAATTTACCGAGTGGTTTTTCAACAACATGGAGAAGCCATGACTAGACTGAGATTGAGGTACTCGTCAGTATAGGCGGCGCTAGTGAGCCGTCACGAGCTGAATTCTGGTTACGAAAATGAAGTGCAGCTATATGCTCGTCGGTTGATTGCGCCTCGTGGTGTATTGTTCTGCTCTCGTGTGCCTCGTACGTCATAATACCGGCCAAAGATGTCTGATATACGTTTGTCTACAGAGTGAATATGTGTTCGAGAAGCTTCCATTGTGAGTTATGTTATTTAAGTCGGTGAAAATGTACTTAGTATCTTGTTGTGTTCAACCGGGGGAGATTGATATGCAATGCTCCAGGGAGACCGATTTGTGTCGTATCTGGGAAGCGCTCATTTCTATGTATCTTTTGTGTGTACTGTGGGTCGTCGGAAAAAGGTGCCTGCCTTGTAGATGCGATGCCTTGATCAAAGTCTAGTCGGTGCCTGTTTTTGTATTCTGTGCTACCGTTGGCCCGATGGTCATGTTTTGTAAATATAAATCAGAGAGCTCTAACGTGATGTGTTTGGGCGACGTTTGTGTGAAAGGTTGCAAATGTTAACTGAACTAGCGGACAGACAATTAACAGTCGCCAGTGAGCTAACTAATTACTCAAGGTGTCCAGAACAAAATGATTCTGACCAATCAGAAAAATGATCACGTATCAGAATGGCATTATATTTCCCCGAAAATAAACCAGTTGAATACATGGTTGGTTACATAAGAAACGCAGGCCTCCAGCAGAAAGATATCGGCCGATGTGCGCAGATTTGCGTCACAGCACGCGAACCCTGCGGCGCCTGTTGCTGTGACCAGTTATTGTGGCCGCTGCCCGCTGTCTCGGATAGCGTATCGGTCACTGCCAGTAATTTCTGATCGGTTTTACGTTGCACCCGCCGGGGAGCCGGGTGGCCAGCGTATTGGTCAGCTGGTAGCCGCAGCTGGGGGAGCCGTACTCGGCCCAGCACTTGGCGAACTGCTCGGCAGTCTTAGCGCCGTCACAGTTGTCTGCGATCTCCAGCAGACCACAGTACTGCCATTCTTCTCCATTGTCATCCGGGTCTCCGTTCCGCTTTCCTTTTCCTTCATCCTTCCCATTCCCTTTTGCACATCCTTTTCCCTGATCTTTGGTTTGACTTATGATTGCGCCCTTCAGACTGCCAACATCCATCTGGCCTTTTCTGTTGGTGAACTTCCTCAAGAGGCAGACAAGAGTTTTGAGGTGCCCCGAATACAGCCGATGGGGGTCTCTTTCATTTTTACGCACTCTGTTACATGTTTTCAGCGAGCGTTGGGTGATTCGCTCCAGGGCTGTCCTCAGGGTGTTGGGGCTGAGAGGACAGCCGGCGGTGAGGAAGGTGGCCCGGCGCCGCGCGCCCGCCTCGTCCAGCTTACTGTGTCGCTCCTGCCGGCGGTCGCAGTTGTCGTACCACATCCACTCGAGGCACATCAGGTGGTGGACAGCCAGCTGGCCCAGCGTCAGGCTCCGGTCGGCGTTCTCGGCACAGTAGTCGATGCTCTGTCGGGTGGTGGCCACCCAGACCGGATCATCGCTCAGCTCTTCCACGAAATCCTTCAGCCCCCAGACGAGCGACGCGGCCGCCTCGCAGGAGGCTGGCTTGGAGGACGTGGCCTCTGGGTGGTTGAGCAGGCCCCGGCTGCAACATGTCCGACATTGTGTTGGTTTTTGCATGCCTGACACGCAGACAAGGACACCAAAGTAAAAACAAAAATAATCGTGAAAATGAAGGCATTATTTGCCGTACCCATGCCTATTTTAGAAGCTAATGGACTGGACCTCTCTCATTCTCTCCTTTTACTGGCTTTGAAAACGGATAAGTGCGGTTCTTGCTGTCATTTGTGTTTTCAGTGTTTTACTATTAAATAGAAGAAAAGTCTATATATTTTTGTTCCGTAATTTATTTGCTTGAGAACCAAACCAACCATTACTTGACATGTTCGGTGCATTATCGGTAACCGTAATTTAAAGCCAAATTCAAAAAAAAAAAAATACCGAGAGCACTCTTGAAATAACGGCAATAAAAACATTGCGTTATAGTTAGTGGAAAAAAAATTGATACTAAAATGAATTTGTCCCCTCATAAGCAACATAACACTCATAAACGTTTCTTCGTTTGCTTGTATCCTTCCTCCTCTCTCTCTCTCTCTCTCTCTCTCTCTCTCTCTCTCTCTCTCTCTCTCTCTCTCTCTCTCTCTCTCTCTCTCTCTCTCTCTCTCTCTCTCTCTCTCTCTCTCTCTCTCTCTCTCTCTCTCTCTCTCTCTCTCTCTCTCTCTCTCTCTCTCTCTCTCTCTCTCTCTCTCTCTCTGTCTCTGTCTCTGTCTCTGTCTCTGTCTCTGTCTCTGTCTCTGTCTCTGTCTCTGTCTCTGTCTCTGTCTCTGTCTCTGTCTCTGTCTCTGTCTCTGTCTCTGTCTCTGTCTCTGTCTCTGTCTCTGTCTCTGTCTCTGTCTCTGTCTCTGTCTCTGTCTCTGTCTCTGTCTCTGTCTCTGTCTCTGTCTCTGTCTCTGTCTCTGTCTCTGTCTCTGTCTCTCTGTCTCTGTCTCTGTCTCTGTCTCTGTCTCTGTCTCTGTCTCTGTCTCTGTCTCTGTCTCTGTCTCTGTCTCTGTCTGTCTCTGTCACTGTCTCTGTCTCTCTCTCTCTCTCTCTCTGTCTCTCTCTCTCTCTCTCTCTCTCTCTCTCTCTCTCTCTCTCTCTCTCTCTCTCTCTCTCTCTCTCTCTCTCTCTCTCTCTCTCTCTCTCTCTCTCTCTCTTTCTCTCTCTCTTTCTCTCTCTCTCTCTCTCTCTCTCTCTGTCTCTCTCTCTCTCTCACTCCCTCTCTCTCCCTCTCTCTCTCTCTCTCTCTCTCTCTCTCTCTCTCTCTCTCTCTCTCTCTCTCTCTCTCTCTCTCTCTCTCTCTCTCTCTCTCTCAGAACTTGTACATATATGCATATGTTGCACACAGTACATATATGCACACAGTACATATATGCATATGTTACAGGCAAAGTGATTTTGCAAATTGCCTAGGCATTTTGCAAAATGCCCGAGTTTTCACTTTGCCTGTAACACATAGGTATACATACATACCGGCATAGACGCCTGCCTATGAATTCATGCATGTGTACAGGCAGACAAATTTAGCTAGTCCCTCGGTATCTTGCCTGGTTGCGAGACAGTTGTAGGCGGCGGGAAGTTTCAGGTCGTCGATACACTGTGTCGCCCACGGGTGCGTTTTGACAGGGTTGGCCCTGGACTTCTTCTGACACTGGGCCGGGAGTGGGGTCCAAGACACGCGGATAAAGCACGCGTATTTCTTTAGGCTGTAGGGTAGGGTGGTAAACTGGGCAGGCAGACATCCTCGGGAATGCAGCTGGGAGAAAATCCAATCGGAACGAAAGATAAAACAATTTCCTGAAGTCTGCCCAGAACCTGTAAACACAGAAATATCACTTATCGACATGAGTGCCCGCAAAGCGAGGAGCCTTCAGTGTTCACCCTCGTTGTACAGCCCTCTGCAGAGTGCGTGGTAGGTATTCTTTTTTCGATAAAACCGATAATAACTCAAATGCTATGTTATCAGTCGGTCGGAACTCACTGCAACTATAGATGCGCCATGCTCCACTCCTTCGATTAATAGGTCTATCAATAAACAAAGTATACGCCTTGTGTGGCAACAGAACGCAAAAGTTTGTTTTGGGGGCAAATATAAACTTTTGGGTTTAGTTGCCGAACTATGTAGATGAAAAATGAATACGGTGATAATGCCAATCTAAGGGGCGGGGTCTAGCGCGTCTTGCTGTTACGATTTCCGAATGACCGATTGCATAGTATTCGCGTTATTCTCATTTTTGTCGAAAAAAAGAATACCTACCACGCAGTTTGCAGAGGGCTGTACCTATCGGCTGTCTTTTTCTGACTTCTTAGGCACCGCCAAGGTAACGCACAAACCCCACCTTCTCCCGACCGAGGCGGTGGGGCTGGAGGATCCCCCCCCTCCCCGCCGTTTCGCCCCTAATTAAGACATAGCTTGGCGAAAAAAGAGCATGTCACGACAGAACGCAGAGACTGGTACCTGAATTTAACCCTCGCTCGTATAGGGGGGGGGGGGGGTCGAACGGACCCCACTCGGTTTTTCGCGAATGACTCGCGTTGAAAGCAGTTGATCGCAACGAAACTTTCAGTACCCTCGAGTCAATCAATTTTACACCTACCCTGAAAATTTCATGACCCTGACCTAAAAAACCTTTGACCTGTGACCTACTTTTCGAGACCATGTGTGGTCGGAATCGCGATTCAGCGTATGTCGGCTCGCATTAGCCGCGCGTTTGCAGTCTTTTCGTGTTTTCAAGCGTTCTAACATGTGATATGATGTTGATCCCATATATTTGGGTGGGTGTCAAGGTCACCTGAAGGTCAGGTCAGGCCATTGACCTTTGATGACCGCGGTTCACTTTTTCGAGTGTTACATGTTCCTAGGCTTGCTTTCTTTTAGCTGAATTCGAATTTAGCAGCCATTTGAACAATTAGGTACAAAGTACACGTAGTTTTGGTGCATTCGTAACATGCCACGAAGCTGTCAGAGGCGGTTGACACCTACTACGAATACCCGGCAGGACCCCTTCTGGTTGACCTGACCTGACGTGACTCGACTTGGCCTAAATGCATGAATACATCATCTGGGATAAAAAGAAACATGATATTCGTGATCAGCACCCCGAAAAAACTTATCGCAACCACAATTTACGACGTTCTAACAGGTTCCGATTTTCCCGACTTTTGGGTCATTGACCTAACCTAAAGGTCAACCGACTGGGTATCATCATTGGGTATCATCGGCTTCCTGTCGTCACGGGCAACACGCTCGTTTTTGTCCGCGAAGTTCTAGCTCGATGAGGGTCCGAGCGGCAAAGGGGGCCCAATTGACCCCCCCCCCCCCTTCACCTATACGTTCGCGGCTGGCAAAATACCAATACGGTGAGAGTTAAGGTTGTCAACCGGACCTCTAAAGTCAGGTGAAGTGCTCAGAGGTGGGTGCTTGGTTTTTGGCGTGTTTTTTTAATCCAACAATGGCCACAGAGCCGCGAGTTTGGCACCATCGTGTATAAGGCATCGGTCTATGTCCCACTGCCGAACAGAGACGATTAATATCAATTATTGGTGATTTAAAAGAGCGGAATGGAAAACAGCAGATGTGGACTGTCAAAGGACAAAGAACATAGTCTTATCAGCGATGGTCACATCCATGCAGTAGGAGCACGCATCTCCGGGATAACTGTTTGAGCGACTAGGTCTGCCTTGCTCGTTAAATCATATAATATACAGGCATGCTGAGAAAATAAACGCAGTAAAGAAGACCTTTCATAAATATATGCTCTAAATTTTCATAAAATCGTTAATCGCTCATCGCAAATCATTAAATTGTTTTTAAGTTAAAATTAGACACGTAAATCTCCCGACGTTTTGCTGTATTAGCTGAGAAATGAGAAACAGCAATTATTTAGAAAGCTATAATACAGCGAAACGTAAGGCAATTGAGGTGTCTTATTTTATCTTAATAGCGATTCAACAAACTTGCGATTAACGACTAACGTTTTTATGGCGATTCTAGAGTAATGATTTGCGAAAGACATTTGCTACCTTTATTAGTACCTAACTTACTCAGTTGCACAAGGATGCACCCTTCCATTTTATGACCCTGAAATATTTAACATAAATATATGTATGTGTATGTAGACCAAAAAGACTTGCAAGCTGTGGTATCGACTGACAAACTACCTATAGGATACGACCTATGGGGTGCAAAGAGGCTCACTAAACTATCGACGACTTACGGCGAGGGCTTTCCAGTTTCCACAATCCACATCCCTGGCATGTGACGCAGATCCCAGGGTCAGGGGCCTCCCACACCTACCGACAACAATCAGGAGCGTGCAGACGAGGACACGGAAGATGGCGGCCATGTTGGCGGAGTGGTGGACGAACTTCCTCTACCGTTACTGTGGACTCTGAGGGCGGCTTATGTACTGCGGCGGGGTGTGGTTATCTCTCCTTATACCCTCCTCCGTGACCCCACAGCTGGGCAGTGGGCGCGAACCGCGTGCACCTGCCAATCAGACCAATTGGGCGTTAGTGCGTTAGCAAAACAGCTTGGGTAAAACACTACCTGTGCCTTGCCGGGGAGGGATGTTTGAACACCCCTTGTGGTTTTTCGCAAATGTCTATAAAAAAAAACGGCGGCGTTCTGCGCCGCCATTTTTGGCATACTTTATCATACATCTTTTCTGCATATATTGATAAAATTTCAGAATAAGGTCCTTCAAGGTCAGGTCACCAGGTCATGTCAAGTGACTACACCTCAGAAAAAGTAAAAGTTTCAATGTTTGCCATAGCTACATGGTACTTACACCGAGTGACGGATCACTTTGAATTTTTCAGCAAACGCAACATTATGTGCAAAATTCATAGACCGGAATTTTGATATCGGTGATTTTATCAGAGCATTGCTGATTTATCGGCGGCGAAAGTTATGTACCGGAATTTTGATATCGGTGACCTAAGGTCAGGTCAATTTTGCGCGCTCTACTTTATAAGTCAATGGGAGTAGTTAAATTGAAAGGCGCCTCTTTCGGACGAACGTTATTCTAAACACTGTCAAACCCCAATTTACAAGAAAAAAATGGCACACTGAACCGGAAAATGGCACCCGTAACCCCTCCTTATGTCCCTGAGGTCATCTCAGGTCACCAAAGGTGTTCGACAGTTTTTTGCTGATAACTTTTGATTGAGGCATGCCAATACTATAGAAACACATCAGATGTACTCAGGTCGACGATATGAGTCAACTGATGTGCAACACGAACTTTCCTGGTCAGGTCATGACCTTGACCTGAGATTAAATTTTCGAGTTGGCCTTTCATGGCCATACATATAGTTCATTCGACACGTCTCGATGGGAGGAACAGAGCACCGGTAAAGGAAAGCTCCTGCAAGTTCTTAGTGAAAAGTTATTGTAGAAAACCATTTCGACAAAAAACGTCTACCTATTTTGGTATTCTAGCCTCCCATGCACGCTGAGCCATCGACCTCAGGTCTTAGACCCTTATTGACAAAGAGCGTTAGCAGGACCATCAAATGCGTTTTTTTTTTTCTGCAGCGCTCTAGGCGTATTTATTATCGAATTATGCGCCGGTTTGTGGAAAATTGTCAATTTAGGCCAAGTTTGACATCCGATGACCTCTGGTGACCTAACCTTTAACCTGAGCTAAAAATAACCAATGTATTTTCGTCATAATTTTTATGCTCTTTTGAACGCCGCCTACCGCGTGTCGCCACATGGCCCAGGAACCGAGTTCGAAGAGCTGATCAAACACCTCCAGCTGGGCGTGGAAATCCAGGAGCCCTAGCGAAGCACGTGTGGAATAGGAGAGGCTGCGTGGAATTTCGCACAGCTTCGAGACGAATACAAGTATTTTGTTTAATAGAAATATGTATTTAGCACACACTTGGTAAAATGGCTGTTAGTTAGAATTGGCCAAGTTTTTCTATCATTCTTCTTTATCTAGAACTTGTCCGACTGCAAAAAAAGCATTCCGTGAGTCAGCAAAACAAGTGTTGGTCGATTTCAGCTCGGTACTATCTAAACTGGCCGGCATCCCCACCCAAGTGTTTTTTCTACATCTGGTGGCTCTTCCTATGGCCATTTCGAAGTATTTGACCTCTATAACGGTTGTAGTGAAGGTACATATGCAAAAAAAAAAAACAACACTTGCATCGAAGACAGACGCTCGTTCCGTTAAAATAGTGGATTCACCCGTTCGACCCCCAGCTTCGATGGTTCACGAAATGTTTGTTACGTAAAGCAAAAAGAACATTTCGCTTCTTACGGCCTCTGAACTATACCATTGTGATTGATTAAATATTTGTTTGCCCTAACCACATCAGTTATGTATTCTGTGTACAGAGATCGTCTCACTTTTGTGTCATTTCAATAGTTTGTATATCGGTATGTTGCGTTTACGATATTTCATAATTTTGATATTTTGATCTTTATATTTTGTGACTTACACAATACACATTTTGCAGTGCCTATACTCTGCTTCCGATATTTCGCTATAGTCGACATTTCTCGTTCAAAATTTTGTGATTAGATAAGTACTTTGTGTTTCGATATTTTTGATATTTTTGTGCTTTGATATTAATTTGAACGAACACGTCGATCAGACCCCCCCCCCCCCGGCACAGTACACACACACACACACTAGCCGTTCGGCCAGGCTTCAAGCAAGAACTCCGAGGAAAAACTGACGTATTGCTCATGATAAGAGGAAGCCACAAGCGCCTACACTGAAATATATGCAATTCGGATTTCACTGTCTTAATGTCGAGGAATAGGTTAACTTCATTTATTTGCTTAATTATATTCAATATGTTCCTCGCTAGAGCACTTAACCCGCGCATGACTGGGGGGGGGGGCTCTACAGAGCCCCCCTCCCGTTTTTCAGCATTATCTTCTAAACTGTTTGACAGATCAACACGAAACTAGCGGTACCTTCAAAGGCATCAATTTGACACCTTGTGTTAAAATTTAAAATTTCTAGCTACCATAGTTTGACCGGAAATGACGTCAGAGTGACGTCATGTCGGCCGATTTTCATGCAAAATACTGAATTACGGCAAACGCTCTCAAGAGCTCAGTTTTAAAGCTATGTCTATTTTCTTTGCATGAGTGGACTATAATTACACGTAGCTATCTAACTGCTATCTCGAATTTTCGATATTTTGAAAATTTTGAAAAATATGTATTTACAATTACAAAAAAATATGTTTTCATTTTTTTCAAAAAGTTTTTGACTTTTCGCAAAAAGCGGAATATATGTGATAGAACACACACTGATAAACTATATTTGCAATTTTTAGCTCAATCTCTTCAAAAATAGCCAAGTTATTCGCATTATTGTCAAAATTTTACAATTTTATGTTTTTCAAATCCATTTCTCAGTACGTTTTTGACGTCCTACAGCAATATAAATGGCACCACGTGTTTCTGAGCTCAAACTGCATCTGATAGGCACCTTTTTTGTTGAAAAATTTCATTTTCAAAATTTGACCTTTTCTGACCTGAAAGTGACCTGACCTCCGGTAAACTCAGCTGACAATGACCTCAAATGACACAGACGACACTATTTTCGACACCTACGAGTAAAATGGACCATAAAACATGCGTCACGTGACCGATACATGATATACAATTTTCGTGACCTAGGATGACCTGGCCTTGACCTTAAAATTCGAAGTATAAGTTCTGTACCCTCAGAGTATCTAAGGCATCCGTCAAGGAGTGCGTAAACCAAAAATGAGCCTGATCGGACCGGCCGTCCGGTGGTCAGAGCCTAAATTGTGAACTAGCAAAAATGTCGATAATTTTTACTTTGACCTGACCTGTGACGTCATCGGTGACCTCGAGGTCAATGAAAATAGGTTTCGCTCGACAGTTTTTCCAGGGCTATCAGACGCCGTTTGAATTTTGACGATCGGCCCAGTAGTTTCGGAGATAGGAGGGGGGGGGGCTCTGGAGAGTCCCCCCGTCACTCGCGTTATGGAAAATACCCCAGTCATGCGCGGGTTAACAATGTTACTAAGGCTAGGTATATTGAAATGATGTTTTACTAAAAGGAGCTTGTTGAAAGATAGCAATAATTATTTTAACCAGTATAACGCCTTTTGGGGCGACTAACGGAGCGAGCGAGAGGGTGGGCCTTGCACGTGCGAAATTGCGAGGGGGTACCTCCAACTGACTTGTGCACGGCACCCTACTAACCGGTCTCTAGCGATGTGCCAAATTTGGGCACAATCGGCCCAGCCGTTCTCGAGATCTGGAAGCGGCACCCTGCACGTGCGCACGTGCAAAATGGGTCCCAACTGACTTGTGCACGGCACCCTACTAACCGGTCCCTAACTGTGTACCAAATTTGAGCGCAATCGGTCGAGCCGTTCTCGAGATCTAGAAACGACCCCCGCACGTGCGCACGTGCAGCAGCACCCCATCTCTGGCACATGGATATGCAGTGCCTAGTGGGTGCCTACCTACATGCCAACTTTCAGCGCAATCGGCCAAGTAGTTACCGAGATATTGCAACAATTACAAAAGTGACACCTCTTCGTTTTGCACGTGGCACGTGCATAAGGGGTCACCAACATGCATCGGGAATAGTCCAATACTTGGTAGAAGGAATGAAGCTACCCTACAAAAATTACCGCATGTAAATCGGTCAAGTGGTTGCTGAGATATAAGCCTCGCAAAAGCGTGACCACGGCCGGCCGGCCGGCCGGCCGGCCGCTCATACTCAGAAATTTCCGTTAATCTAAGGAAAGACTACGCTCGCTTCGCTCGCTCCGTAACAATGCATTACTCAGATTTCAGAATTATCGTCCATGGTCACAAATTCAAATCCAATGTTCTGTCTTAATTGCGCCATGATCCATGGCATTCCAGGAATCACACTTTACCTGATTATTTACAAATAGTGCTGACTTGAGCCATCCAATCTGATTGCCGTCCAATCTGAGCCATCCAAATTCCAATCTTATCATTGAAATTAGCAGAGCCTGAGTAATCCAGCAATAGCAAAAACAAGTTGATCCTGTCAATTTTCAAAAGATAATCCTTTTACAGCGGTAGGTTCCTCGCGATCGGGGGAAAATAGCTCGCACAAAAATGGTTAACAGAAAAATGCTTACGAAAAGGCATGCCGTTTACCTCACGCTTATTTATTTGCAACAATGCATACAAAATCAGATATCCAGTAATAGGACTAAAAAAAAAAACATTTTGTGGCGTAGGAATAGCGCATACAAATTCGCATGCAGCTGCAATACAAGTACAAATGCGTATACAAATAAAAGTATGCATGAAAATGTATTTGAAAATTTACAAATACAAATACAAATATTGATAGAAAATAATAAGCATGCAAACACAAGTAACGCATGTAGCTTTGCATCAGCTGTTACCTCGCAGTTAGATCGGAAATG